ATATACACTATGACGATAAGGAGAATTTACAAGCATAGTCGTCAAGCCAATCCCAGTAAGTCATTTACTGTCGGCTTTGTGGCAGTTATTTTGGCCTGAACACATAATAAAATTCAACAGTAGAATCAAAGGTGGCCAAAATCAACGGCTAGAAATCGTCAACCGTGAAAACCGTCAATAATGATGCTGCCAAGTCGTACAGAAACCAGCTCAACCTATTCAAGAAAAACACGATAATCTTAACCCGCATCAAACACCCAAGTTTAGACAAAATTGCAGTGGATGTTCGGCGACTTTGCTCCAAGCCAAACTACAGGGTGTGGGACAAAAAAACTGATGGATTACCTCATCCTCCATGTGTCCATATTCAAAGTTAACGAGTTCGGCGGTTTCACCCCTATCACAGAGCGTTGTGATGAAAAGGTGCAGACAATCCCGTTGCCTAAAAAAACACCAGAATGAGGTCTCATTTGCAAGGAACAGACTTAATCCCATGTGCACAACACATTAGACAGCGTGTATTCACAAATCCAACGTAATCGATGGGGGTTCAGTAGTGGTGGTAATCAACGTGATAGCTCGAAAATGGATTGCATCAGCAAATAACACGTTAACACCAAAATTATGCTTGGAGCTGGCAGACTCAAGAACCACTGGACAGTAAGGTAGAGACAGCCAATTCCGGCTCCAAAGTGCCCACAAACGGCAGTCAACCATGCTTTCGGAGAATTGAAAGGGCTGTGGTTAGACAAATACCCGATTCTTACCTCGTGACATCTTCCGGTCATACTTTACTTCTGGAACGAGAAACAGACGTCACTTAAACTGGAATTAATAAAACCATTCACAACCTAAAACGATTATTCGTCCATATGAAGTGTCAATGCTGGTAGTGACCGACTAAAAGTATCCACAGTAGTTACAGTTAGCAGGGTCAAAATCAGTCGCTACCATGGCGTCGGAAATCTGTGAGTTCATTTGATGTCAATCGTGCTGATGATAATGAGCAATCTCGCTGAGCTCCAGAAATCACTTTTCCGTGTGACAACTTAGTACACTTGAATTCCTTCTAACTTTTACGCAGATTCAGAGAAGACAGCGAATGCGCATTTACAAAGTAGATGGCAGTGGATTGCCAACATCGACAACATTTAAGGTGTCCCAGAGATGCCAGCCAGAGATACTAGCACCTCGGTAGTTTCTGGGGCGTCCTCCTTCGTCTCTCTTAATAAGCAGATATAAACACCAAGCTAATAGCGGAGCTCCGTCATATTTACCGAGAAGTCATTCGACAGCGGTACTTATTCCTAAACCGGCATTCACCTGGCTAAATTATTCAGCGGTTTCCATCAAAAGGATTGAAGAATTACTGAAAGATTGGGTGGTTGAAATGACGACTAGACGCATTGACAAAGTCGCGTTATCAACGACAAAACCGCGTGATTACCTCTACATCAAGTGTAACTCGTGAAGAGCACTAGGAAAAAAAAATTAAACTCGAAAAGCTCTCAGATTTTGAAAAAAAAAGCAAAAGAACGTGACCTCTGAGTAGTGTGTGCATGAATTTCGGACCGAGTAAATTCAAAGTAATTGTGACTAGCTTAGAGATTGTGCATTTGACCTTGAAGCGTAAGGATCAGAAAAAGGTTCTAATCGCAGCCCTGCTCGTACACAGTACTTTGGCCATGCTCTGCCAAATATATTCTGTGCACACTAGGTAAATGATCTGAATGTACACACACAAATCAAACACCCTAAGACGTCCAATTAGATAAAACAACTCTGTCGTAATGCCATTTTTAAATGAGAATTCATTTTGAAATGACGTGCAATGAAGACAGCGTTCTTTTCAAGGAGTGTGCAGCTAGCCGTGGACCGACATAACATCATTGTTTTCTTGCTTACACCGGCCTTGAAACAATGATCTCCGTTGGGCATTTCCGGCTACCATGTTTACTCACCGCCACACATTCCCTGTCGAGCCACTCGGCCCTGTCGCTCGCCATAATTGGTTCCAGGTTAGTGAAGAGTACGCTTTTGTAGGTTATGCTGGCATAAAACAAATAAGACCTTTACTGCCATCAATGCGGTGTACTCATAATGCGGTCGAAAAAAACAGGCAGTCTGATGGGTGAAGGGATGACATTGGACAGTGCATGAAAATCTGCCTAACCTGGCTTTGTCAGGGTTGCTCATGACGAGAGCATGGGCTCTAGCGGTGTTACCCATGGCCAGTTCGTGCTTAAAGACGCGAGTCCGAAGAACTGCCTCGAGTTCGGAAAGGTTGTTCGCGATGTCCAAAAAATCAGTGTCCTCGATACAAACGGCGGAGACGGGAAAGAGACTGTTGCGGCCCGTTTGTTCTAGTCAAAGCACGCGGAGTGTGTATAATTATGGGGGACAACACTTAAACTATTAAAGTGCACATTCGCGTGTGTAATTACCGGGAAGACGTCAATAACCAGATACATAACATTTTCTTGACATGCAAATTAAGCATGAAATCCGTTTTTGGCTTATTGACAAATGTTGACCGACTACTCCAGGAGGCTCCCACACGATTTCACCGTCATCGTAAACCACACGAATCTGGGTGGGATTGACTTCTCTCAACCGCAAGACTCACACTCGTAACAAAGCCACCGAACCTATTACATTATAATGAGCATTATGAGAAAAATGCCGGAATGTAGTAAGACACGCATTCATTCGGCGTCCAACAAACCTGGCTTCTCGGGTTCTTGCAGACAATCAACCCACCAGTTCCACATGGAAATAAGCATACGGCCACAATAAAATTTGTGTCTTCAAAGAATATCGTCTCGAGATACTTCATAGCCAATTTAATATGCTAAAAAAACGTACGTGGAGCGATCACATCAAAAGGCGGATAGACCGTTTTAGCACCAGTGCCACAAAGAAGCGACGAGAGATGAGGATCTACTCGGAAGTTTAAAAAACCCTTTGTACTTGCGTTGTTGGCTGCTCTCCGAATAACACCCAGTGCATACTCACACAACCGAATCACATGCTGGGATTTGTCAAGGTGCTCTAACACCGGCATTATCTAAAAAAGTTGAGCCGATTACAGAGGAACACGGAGGACGAGCAAGGACTATAGTAAAATATTTACCTACTTTAATCAAGTAGCGTATCTGCACCTCGTCGACAACAAAAGGAGTGTAGAGGAAGCTTTTGTCGCCATAAATAGACGGAGGAAGGCCAAGTGACCCACTCAGGGAAAATTCGGTAGGGAATAGTTGTTCTAAGATGGAGCACGGCGCAGCTGCATTTTCGTTGAATATCAGCCCTGGGAGACACTCATTAGACAAGGGATGCAAACGACCAAGCAGGCGATTTCGCAAGTACAAAGACCCCTCAATGTGCTGCTCAATAGCCTCGTCTGTGAGACTAAAAGACATGCAAGTGCAACACAACCTGTTACTGTCTAACTTGGATGCGCACCGATAGTCGTCTCTTATCTCTGCTAAATGTTTGTCCGAACGAACGGCCACGATTAGGCGATCGGTTTTGATGCTCTACACGTACCGGCACAGTTACGAGTCGCACATGTTTACCTCGGCCTCTTGACGTATCTGATAATATTCCATGATTTCAACAATATATTCAAAATCCTCAAAGTATTTGATTTTGCACTTTGTTAATTTTTCTTTTGTGGGTCTCAAGTCAAATTTGCCCCTGCAGTTACATGGTTGCAGTAGCACGGGCTTCACTACAGGCGTTGTGAATCGCGGTAATTTCCAAGTGTCAACATATTTTCGGGTATTTTGTTCCCCGAGATTACTGAAATTCGCCTGCTCTAAGTTGAGCGACTCCAACCTTTCGTTGTAATTAACGTGAGTACTTATTACCGAGTATCCTTGCAAATATTAACAAACCCACACATCCTCTATGCTAAGCCCAAAAAATCTATTTGCCCAGCTATTAACTCAAGGGGCGAATAAGACGCTAACCATGTTGTTCTTGATTAATTTGATGTTCTCATTCCGGTTCTCGGAAAGAGCCGAATGTTTTGAGGCTTGCAATTTTCCAAACATGTGACAAGTTTTTTGCTGTCTGCTTAAGTACCAACGGTTCAATAACGATCAGAAACAACAAAATGTCCGATAATATAAAGAGGGAATTTCGTCGTTTTTTTCACAGTATTATATTCGGATGCAACTCAACATCACTTAATTTTGGTTCATTGGGTTCGCAGGAACAATATGCAGAAGTGACAGGACCGAACAGGAACGTTCAACTGTCTGCATAAGGCATTTTGGGTAATCTGTGTAATTTCTAGTCCAACATTTCGCAAATTTTTATTAGAAGGAATTTGAACTAACCCAGACCACAGAAGTGCAAGGCAGGCGCAGACATATAGGGCGTTTACGTCACCCGGCCACCAAGACTCGATTGCAGGAATAAGTTCAGATTCTTCTGCTTCGTCACTTTTTGGGCAAGTCTTCAAAAGTCCCTCCAGATTGATATCGGCAAAGGCGCTTGGCGAGAGGCATTTGCATAAAGCTAGTATATCCCGGCACTAAGGAAAAAAAAGAATAGAGTTAAGTTTGACTAAGCCGAAGTACAAATGTACCGATATCACAACAATTGCACCAACTTGTCACTTCCATGCACCACACAACAAGTGACGGGAAAACACCAGAATGTAGTAGTCCCTAGGTTTAAACAATTCAAAGGGATTTAACCACATAGAGGCTAGTGAACACTGCTAATTCAACGAGCAAGGGTTTGCAACGTTCGTTTTGGCGCTATTAGCAAATTTTACCACTAAAACAAAACAAAACATGGAGCATTCGCTGATGTTACGACGTTACGATTATCGGCGCATACAATGGCCTGAGATTTTCGAAAATTTGAACCTGAGATTGTAAAAGTGAAAGATGGAATCGTGGTAAAATAGGGAAGTCTAAGACATTAGAAAGGTCAATAAATGAAACCAAAAACTTCAAGAACGGAACTGATGGAGTCGGTTTCCAGTAGTGTCCCTACATAGAAGTTTTGACCAGCTCCCAGTAAACGTCTTCGTATGAAATCCATGATACACGGCATTATACTAACAAAAGATCGCTCATCTACCATAGTGTTGGACCTACGTGTGCTACACGCCTCCAAAATGTTGACCAGTGAACGTTACAAAGCAGCTGAGGCCTAGTGGCGGGAAACAACCTAAAGGTTGCAACAACAGCAACAAAGTTCCTCACACCTGAAACCAATCTTTCAGATATAAGTGTAAAGAAACTAATTCCCAGCGTCTACATGTTCCTATATAATACCGTAGCTACTTCTAAAGAGCTATGTTGAAGACTAGACAAAGGTATATCTCAAAACTAACTCAGACAGCTAGACTTTCTTGGGCAGAAATATTCCTTTTCACCAAAATTTATAGACAATTAGACATTGCAATAATTCAAAGATTCGGACAGCTACCCTGTTTAGAAAATAGGCTTTTGCTTCCGGTTGAATTTCCATGGAAGTGAAAACCGCAGCCACTACTGGATTAACATGAATCCTATTTATTTGGGCACCATTACGTATATTGAGGTTAACAATAAAAAAGAAATTATCAAACAAGGCAAATGATTCAAGTGCCGGTGAAATTAAACCATAAGACAGTGATGGTTCCCCAAATACAGTCCTTTAGGCGGTGGCAAATCCGCGCAAGCCAGTTGGACCGGGTTACTGGACTGTGGATTACCAAGAGAAATCCGTTCGGTAAATCAAAACCTCATAAAATTTCTCCCTCAACTTTGCCCCTGCATTCAAGGAGGGCCTTGTTTATCATCTTGAATGAAGCCCATACTTACCCTTATTGTATCTGATTTGTCGGTACATTCTATCGCTACCCCATCTATCTAGTGACATTTAGAAAGATCCTTATTGCTTCGTTGTTTATGATTTTCCGTGAATTTTAACCCACCACATACACCACAGAAGCGCCTTCGAGAACGCAGGTGCCCATGCAAGAATTGACTTCATGTTAGGCACACAGCAAAAGACTGATTACCCGGGCGTTCACCAACAGATGTCGTAACACTGGAAGCATGGTTTGGCCGCCCTCGAGCACCGGCCAGAATTCTCTTTGAAGCGCAGTAATGACATTTGAGGATTGTGCTTGCCAGAACTCTTTGCATGGTCGAATAGGTAGGTTGGAGGACGCTGACAGAATGAGCTCTTCTAGGAGCGTCACTCCGGGATACTGAATGAAATTCTCACTCAATGAGACGCCTCGTTGACCGGGTTCCCCCAAAACACCGAATTCTGAACACGGGGTCCACTCCGGCATTCCGAGCAGCTTAAGATGTGTCGATACCGAAGATCTAGAGTCAAAATAAGGACGATAACTATACGTGCATACTGGATGCGATATTGAAGGTTCGAATCCTTGATTTCCCGCGAACTACTTTAACAATAATGTTATCACATGATGTGGCTTAGATACTTTCGATAGTCGGCTGGTGCAAAAAAAACACGGACACAGACACACCCAGACACCCAAATACAAACTAGAATCCAATTTTGCGGTGGTTTTCACAGCTAGTAACCGAAAGGCGGAAAGACGCAACCAAATAATCCAAACCTACTTTTTCCATATCCCTTGGATTGAGAACTTGGTTTCAACGGAGTCTTTTGATGGACCAGCAAAAGCTCTGCTAGCAACAGTATGAAAACCTGCACACATTGTGTCAACGTAGTTATCTGGCAGGAACAGAATTGATTCATAAATTTGGAGGAAGGGTACCAAGTGTCGAATGCCAATTTTAGTGTCCCAAATAATTTCCCAGCATTAATACCATAGACAAGATGTTTGTTGGGAATGTAACTGTGAAGATAACGAATGGCTTTTCAATGCTCCACATCAAATGTCTACTAAAGTAATAAACCTTGTAAAGTTGGACGGCCTTCAAAGTGGACGAAAATGGAATGTCAGAAAGGAAGTGCCACTTATGTGCCCTGCATGAATATGTCAATATACATTAGCATCAATGATAAGTTTTAAGCAATTGCTTCGGCTATCACTAAAGCTGAGATTACAATGAAGTCAATATTCCTCATAGTTAGTTTAAATCGTCAAATAAATCGCTTATACTCAGCTACTGACAAAAATCTGGTTGAGTTACAAGTATTTAAACTTACAGGTACCCCTTCTCCGGCATAGGTCCACCTCGAGTTAAAGTCAACCACTGGATGACTGCGAGGGACCGATAGACCTGTTGCAGCTTCTCCTCCACTCGCCGACTACTACCTGTGGACGCAAAGTAATTACCGTGACGCCAGAGCAGATATGCTGCAACACAGAAACGAAGGTGGGTGTTTGTTGCACGCCAGACGCCCTGACGCAACAGTTCCGCTGTTAGCCTTGAACCAAAGTCCATTGAGTACGAAGAACCTTGGAAGTTAATCCCACGGTTTGTGACATTTCCTAAGAAAATAAACTTATTTGGGTAAAATAAAACTTAACAGATGTCTCACTTCTCTATTACGACTTGCGTGGCGATTTACGACATGAATAAACTTACAGTTTGAAGAGCTAAAATGACTTATTGCTCAATAAAACACGGAAGATAAGTTGAATTGACTCAAATAGACGTTTACGCCCAAGATCAGCTGCTCACTGAGCTGTAGGGTGCAGACTATGCACTACAAATCAAGTTTTTTATCAAGTGATATGCAGTAACTTGGATGGTTATTAGAAGAACGGACGAACAGGAGGGCGTAAAGCTAAGCAAATACAATCTTAGGTTAAAATTTTGAATCGATGATTCAGTATTCGCTAAGTGGGAAAACTTACTGAGTACCACAAAGTAAACTTGAGTTACTAAAGCCAGTAAATGAAACCCACCAGCAGAGCTCTCATCCTGTGCCACACCTTCTTCCTCACTCCGACTAACCAACATTGGGTGGTCTTCTGGTACTGAGAGTAAGTCCAGGAGCCACTCAAAAGCTTCACACATCCCCTCACTATCTGCATCGGCAACCCCACAACTGATGGGATGATGGCAATCCTCTGCCACTAAATCGATCCTATAATGTTCAAAAATATACAATTAAATCAAAAGTACATACTCTGAAGTTTTGATACTCCCTTGTGCAAGTCAAAATACTATTTCTTCAAACCCATTTCATCGAGCATGTTACGATCATAAAAACATGTAATTTTTTTAAGTAGGTTGTTTTAAGCGTCTGTAACTAGTCATGAAGGTTAAAAAGATTAGGTGGTTAATGCAGGTAAATACTTACGCAAATCGACTGGAATGTGTAAAGCACACTTTGAAATCCAATTTAAGTTGTCGGCAGGATTCTGTGACAAGGACCACAATGTCAAACAATAAACAGAGAATTACCGTCAAAGCTGGTGTGTTAACTTAATAAAAGGCTAAGGATGCAATCAGCCCGAGATAGGATGACGCACAAGTTTAAAAGCTACTCGGGTAAGGACTGTAGCAAATGATAGGGAACGCTCTGAGCAAAAACCAGGTCGACTTCTGAGCTAAAAGGCTTACACCAAACGGTTGAGAATGACTGCGGTTTGTGAGAAATTTGCGGCATTCCTGCAGATATTGCGCTCATGTTCAAGCCAAACCTGGCTTTGTGCGAGGCCTCTAACAACCTGACGACAATGAGACAGTAAGCAATCTCGACAACGCAGTCGCGCAAACTGGTGGCTCCCTGCGTCCGTCTGGAGATCTACAAGCATTACGACAGTACATGAAGGGAAGTTCCCTAATTTTCAGGGCCATATATTCATTCCAACAAGGGGATGTGCTATAATTATACCCTAATTAGGCTACAGGGATTAGACGCAAGGCGTTAAATAATCATCCCGTTCGTACGCACCGCACAAAATTTGAGGCAATTGGCATTGAGGAGACGCAAGCCCAGATATAAGGTATGTCTGTTGGTAAATCAACTTGAGAGCAAACAACTACATGGAGCCGTGGCTAATGGATACTTAAGGTTCTTCTATCAAAGCCACATAACAAATGGTAAATGAAAAAAAAACTCCCATTAGGGGGAGCCTCTGAATAAAAGAATGGTAATTCCTGTGCAAAAACAAAAGTACATACCAGACTCAACAGCACAATCGTTGGAAAGGGTGTGTGTCCAAAGAATTGCCTCTGTCGAACACAGGCGCCGAGGAACCGAAATGCCTGAGCGACGCACAACCACAACGTCCGTGCTTGACTGCATACAAAACAGACCGAGCGGCTCACTAGCCTGCTGGTGGTAATCTTGCAGATTTTGATGCAAGGTCCTTAACAGCGTTTTAAATTCGGAAACAGCTAGTGATGGCTGCAGCTGACAAAAATTTAAAAAAATTGAAAGGAAAGTATGAATGCTTGCTGTTGGAAGAACTGAAAATTCGACTATACAAATGGCTAGTTATGCAATGGTGCAAAATTATGAAGAGGAGATTTACACGGTCAGTGTTTTCATCGACATTTTTTTCATGCTATGCAAACACCTTAAGCCTTGTGCGTAGCCGTCAGCAGAACTAGGGCGACCGTTTTATTATTCACAAACACTGAAAATCACCTAATGTAAGGTTAAACCTCATTGTAACTGAGTCGAAGTAAAATGCAAATGGAGAACGCCGTATTCAGGTAAAAGCCCATTTGCATTGAGGGATAGTCAAATAGCGACTGGTGATACACAAGTAAGGAAACAAAATTCAGTAAAATAGGTATTGTAGCACAGGGCTGCTGATATATAACACCTGGTACTCGCGCTTGTGCGTGTAAACTATTTGACCCGACGTCGAGAATTAATGCAACCGACTTACAATTGAGGCAAGAATGCAAATGACTTCATCTTTCAAAACAGGAGCTGTTTGATTCGGCGAAAAGTACTCTTGTGGCAAATGATGGGATTGTTTAAGTGACTAAATAAAAAAGAGGGAATTTGCTGCCTGTCTGGAAAAAAAATCTCGAGTAGGATCACAATCGGTTCTAAATTGTTCCACAGAACGAAGTTGAAGCGCTTTTAACTTGACGTACAATGTATAGGAAAATTTGCCTCAATTTTCCAGTAACTTTCAACGAATTAGGCACCAGATATCAAATATTCCTACTAAAAACTTGCATTTCTAACTTTATAGTGAGTTACACGGGTTTATTTATTCAACGGCGAGTTTAGAAACCTATGAATGCAGGACAAACATCGATTTGAGCTTTGTAGCTCTACGATGCTAGAACCGGATTATTGACTTTAGCCGACAAAGAGACGTCACCATTATTTGGGGAAATATTGTCCAGGTTGAAACCTGTGTGTATAAGAGTAAAATATATCAAATTAAAACGTAAATAACTGTTCCATTCCCTTTCTCATTTGCTCATAATAGTAAATCTACTTAAACTTTATAAAGTAGGAGGAAAATTATAAAATGCAGTGGGAAGTAGCAAAACTGATTTTAAACCACAGTATATTATTTCATTGAAATTTTATTTTAATATTTCAGTAATCAGCAGAATCTACTCAGTCCGCTGCCAGATACAGAATAACACAATATAATCCCAGTAAACATTAAAAAGTGTTGACAGGAGTCACCTGTGGACCGTACCTACCTTAAAAGCGTTGTAGATAGCTTGCAAGGCAAACCGACCAGGCGTGAAAATAAAATCCACGAATACAGATATGTCAATGCTTTCCTTGTCAACATCGTCAGTGAGATCATCTCTACCTGGACAATTGTCTGGATTGATTCTATTGATGAATATCGAATTGGGCAGCGGTTCTTGCCATGGATGTAAATAGTTAAATTCCGAGGATTCTAATGGTGGAAGAATAGCACCTTGTAAGCCTTTGACCTCACAGACGCTCCACTTCAACGTCGGATGACTAGAGGCACCTTCGCTGGAGGCATCCACAAGCGACCATATACCTAATATCATAAAGAGCAGGCTAGATTCGGTTCAAAAAATGTGGCCTCTAAATAAATGGATATACTAGCCTAATGTGGGCTGCGCTGCCTCATCGAAAAGGACGTTTGCGAAATTGGAGGAATTCGAGTCATGGTCATAAGTAAGGCATGGTATGAAATCGATAAGGGTAAATGCTGCTTCCGTAGATGCGTCCTGAAGATTTGGTATCTGCCTGATAGGTTCAACGTGAACAACAGTAAAATTCTGAGTCATTTCGCAACAGTCCAACCGGATCCATATCCAATAGGTCATTTGCACAGAAGGTAATGACATCTTTTTCGTCGGTACTAGATCGAAGTAAACTAGAGCATAGTTGGAGGACCCTTTAACGCGATGGTTGGCACCAGGTGCGAAGGCAAGGGTGCGTTGGTTCGACTCAGCCAAGGCATCAAAGCTCCGCGAAAACTTGCTCAGGCATCTCAGAAGATCAACTTTGACGACACACTGCCTCGACTAAAAATTATTGCGTGACGGTTGAGGAATGCAAATACCTGCAGATCCCATGCTCGAAAATTATGGTCCTTGCAAACACAAAGAAGTAAGATTTTATCTTGCGTGTCGTTGAGAAAGGCCAGAGATACAGGGCTTTCCAAATTTTCAGACCCATTTTTTCTTCAAAAGATAATTAGACATGTTTATTATACTTACCCCGAATACGAGGGAATAATTCCCGACCAGAGTTTAAAATATCTTGAAACCATTTGTAGTTCATGCACTTCTAAGTGGTCTTAACGGAACAAATAAATTAAAAGCAGAAATCGGGTATGATCCACAGAGGGTTTCGAAGGAAAAACATACCTCGGTTATCATCAGATATTGTTACAAGAATTACAGATCCACCCTTGAGGCCGAACGCGAATATAGACAGCTTTGACCGACTTCGAGTATTTACAGAACAGGTTATATCTTGCGACACTAGTCCTTTAATTAAATGGAACTTCGAATTTGAGGACTTTCTACAGTTGAGTATAGAATCATAATTATGGGCCTTTTAATGTGCTATAAATTGAACGTTACTTGTTGATGCCGAAAAAAATGTTCTTGAAAAACTCCGTCAGTAGTAGAAACTAATATTCTCAATCCGGTATATTCACAAAAAAGACCACAGTATATTACTTTGGCATTTGAGAATCGATATTCTATGCTGTTATTCGAAACTTCCGAATTGAAAGAAAGCTCACGAACAAACAGCCTGTCATGGTCTGCGTGCCAAGTAAGGAACCGATCATTAAAATCTGAGACGGATGATACGCCACCAGCGCAACCTGAACTGTCACTGCTTAGGAAATTGGAGTTCTCAGAAGGGGCTAAAACATTTACATGCGTCATTGCTCTTACTTTTTTTAACTGTGATAACGGTAGGTGACTGTCGCCCAACACTGTCGAACGCGACCAACTCCGAGAGAGTCATTTGAAACTCTGCACGACACTTCGGCTCCACACCAATGTAAGTCCTTCAACCGTGACCTTAATAGTTGTTGACATAGGGGCAAATCTTACCCATTGATTAACAGTGATTAAAGGATCACATCTTATGAATGTCATATAATATATTTTCATGTTAAAACCACCTAAAATTAGCAAGTAGTTTTAAACTTTTTATTAGGATTAGCAAAAATTTAGTCGGTAGGCAAACTTTGTTTTTGGCAAAATAGTTTGTGGCATCAGTCAGGTGTTAATTTTGCCTCGTGATTTTATTATAAAGGTAAGTGTTAATTAATAACTAAATGGTATTACCATTGGAACATGGTTTACAGGAAAACAAAATTTTAAGCTAATTTTAAGAAGCCTCAAGTAAGCATAACTAAGGGTATTTTTTATTATACTGACACAGCCTATACGGACGGTACATGTTTTGGGTCGGCACACATAATTCCAACCCATGCGTACCCTTTACCTATTTGAATCAACCCTTCAGAATTTCCTAAAAAAATTACCTTGCATCCACGAGCCATTATGTACGAATCTTCGTGACATATATGCCCTTCATTTTTATCACTTAACGATACTGTTTTGTCATCCTCTTTTTTATTAAGATGAGGTTAGTTCAGTGGGTAGCTGAGTTTGCTTGAATAAAAAAAGGAGAAGACATTTGCCACATGAAAGGCTCTATCGAGACACAAAGTCTAGAACATTTTGCTAACCACCGTCTATCCGAGTCTGACTTATAGACTGTGCATTTTATCATGTAGGTGCTTCTATTCGATTACTGTCACTGACTCTCAACCGCTATTTTTTATAGACTCTTGCAACATACGTTGGCAGAAAATTGACTCGGCTGATAACAAACTCTAAATCTGAAACTTTTTTCACAAATTTTAATGAAGCATATTACCTTCATTTTTTGGAGCTGGAATATGTGTTGTTTTTACTAGACTCCTCTTTGGTAATGCAATTTCGCCTTTAGAGTTAGAGTTTGAACAACTTTGTGCCTCCGTGTGTTTGTTAATAAAATTGAGGACAATTTTTTTATTGAGACATATTTCTGATTCACTGTTGTTAATTCTTGCTAGTGACCTTTGCTGCGTGTATTTTGCTATTTTTTTCAAATTCCTTAATAAGTTCTATACAACTTTGCTTCCAAAACAATGACTCAGTTATATCGTGTTTTTCTAAACTGCTAAGAAGTGGCATCTGTGACACCAATTATCGAATGTGATACCTGTAAACAGTTGCATTGCGCAAGCTGAGTTTACATGCTCCCCTAGTAGATGGGCTAAGTATTGACATATCATTACTGGGTTTATTTTACTTTATGCAAGTAAAGACGGTACTGTTAGCTTGAAAAAGGAATGTAGCGCGTGCAGCTATTTACGACACTCAACTAAGGGTTCCGGAGTTAATTTCCGCGATTCTAAAGCTGAACAATATCATTGTGGGATTTGTGCTGACAGTAATTTTATTATATAACATAGAATGACCACTAATATTTTTTGGAAACACACAGCAAGACAAACAATCTTCGCACTCTGAATGCACTGCGTTTTCTCTCGGAGTTACTGCGTGTACATTTTTGCACTACTACACATCGAGAGAAGTAAACCGGACCAATTGTGGCATTTATTTGTGTCGCAGACTTTTGTGGAAACAAATTCTGTGGCATCATTTTGCGCTTCTCAATAATCCATGTCCACTGCATCCATCTTTATTCCACGTTGAATTTGTTTTCACTCACAACCCTCACCTCAGTTCAGGGACGACCGGAATCCTTTCGTTCGCCATATTCCCAGCTGAGCCACCTGACGCAATATCACTGTATATACGTTAGATACTTCCACCGAACCTCAAATTTTATTCCCAAGTTTTTTACTATGCGCCCGTGTAATCCCTCTTACATAATCACGCATGCACACAGCTGACCACTACTAATTCTTCGTATTAAGGTGCTACCAAGAGCTCTTCTGAAGTTATAACTGAGGAATTACAAAGACACATTAACGGATAAGATCTAGGACAACTTTAGTGTCAGCCTAAATTATGTTTGTACCTCCATCTTATTCTACCTTGAGTACTTCGTGTCTTATGGAGACTCAATATTAGCAATCGTGTCCAGCAACGCCAAGCCATGAAGACAGAACTATATACTTGGTGATTATTTTGATGGAAGGCACAAAGCTATAATGAAGACATTAAATTGCATCTGTTGAAAAGTCGTTGGTCTTATACACACTGATTGGTCAGCCCAACTTAAGGGTCTAGCCCAAATGTGGCACTGGGGTTTCCGAATTCCTTCATAATTACAAATCAATGGGTAAGTGTGAATGGAGGGAACCGGAACAAAATCATCTTAAGGTATTTACAGTTTTGTATCGAAGATGTGCACGTTGCGTTAAATCCAGTCGTGCTGAATGATCTCGTCGCCAGACCCAAGGTAACCGCTGGAAGTTGTTGACCTTTGGGAATCATTACGACCCACAGATACGCTGGGGTGGGAAAGGGGTCGGACTGTGTCCAGTTTGTCAAGGTCACTACAAATTAGGGTGGAATGGGGCTCAGGATCACCACCTTGTGTGGCAGAGGGACAAAGGTGGGGCTTTGATCCCGTAACTGTCATTTCATCGTCCTCCCCACTGCTAAAATGACAGGAGGCGTCGATAAAACTGATCCCACTGTCGGTCGCACCTCCGAATTCTCCACTTCTGTGACGACTTTCCATTACTTGAGCGATAGCTGATGCAACAGCTGAATCTGTGATGTCAGTGGCTAGCAAAGCTAAATCATTTTCGTATGCTCCTACAATGGATAAACGAACGTCCTTAAGTCACTTTTCATTTTTGCAAAGCTTCCAAAATTTGTAAAACTCAATTTATGACCACATAAGACTTATATTTATGGCTTCCATCTCATGAATGCTGAAAACAGCAGATAATATAGTTTACCCAGTCGATTACTCATTATATTCTAAAATCCCATCTACAGTGCTTTAAAATTAAGGGGATGAATTAAGCTACATTAACTTGGAAAAGGCTCGATATTAACTTGTGGTGGGCAATAGTTGTTAGTTTTCTAACGGCAAATTTGGGCATGTCGTCACGAGGAAGAAGGTGGCGGTGAACTGAAAGCTCATATTCCATATTTCTGAACCTCTAGAATAGTTTAAAAACCTCATCCTTGACTTTGTTTCGACTCTTTGTTCTAACAGTTAAGATCGATAATTTCCGATGTCGTGAGTTATAAATATTAAGCATGCACTACATGAGACGATGTACCATTGGCAATCACAATAATTTGGCCTTTGCTTATCAAACAACACATTTGTAAGATTAATCAATATGTCTTTAACGAATTTCAATAATTTAGCCCTTTATTATGATATGAGGTAATTCTTCAAAATAATCGACCTTAAGTAAATAAAGGAACTGGGAAAAAGCCTTTGAGTTTAAAATTCAAACTTTAGGCTTACAATATTTCATGGCTATAGAAAATCCTTACCAGCTGAATCTATAGCATCATCAACTAGCTCTAGCGCAAACGCCCTAAGTTCTTCATCACAGATTTCTAAAAGCAAAATAGAGAGCACTTAATTTAAATTAATGCCAACGTTTTGAGAGAAAAGCTAAAAAAAATTTTGTCACGCTGTCCAACCACAAACCCCAAAGCGTCTCCAGGATTTGTATTTTGATTAACGCTTCGATTAAAAATAAAGATGGATTTGAAGTGAGAAATGTTGGTGATGACAGCATTGCAAGTCATGAATGAGACTTTGCGACCCAATCACCATGCTCTAACAGACTTATGAATGAAAAAGCAAATAGTCTTAAGGAGCAAGGCAAAGAGTTGAATTTATTCCAGTGAAATTCCTGTCTATGTTCGTTAAACGTAGCAACACCCAGTTTGCTTGCCAGCTCGGTATGATTAGAGACTTAAAAACGCGTGAGAACCAATAGGAGGTAATAGGGCAATCTTAAAAAAAGTTTGGACAAGGCTTTACTGATAAGCTTCCACCGAAATTAGTGACACTAAAACACCTCTTAGATCGGTGATTTTGAGGACGTTCAACCCCATCTTTGCACTGGATAAAAATTGATAAGCATACTACAAACAAACCATTATTATTCCCTTGGTTCTCTAAGATAGGACTATTGGAGATCAGCAATTCCTCATCCAATTTTGAAATGGGTTCTTTCATTGAGGTTGGATGGTTTTCTTTCTCCACCGTAGACTTATTGAAATCCTCTAATAGTTGATTTGCTGGACTTCCTACTTCCTCGAGTTCCTCTTCGTAGTCACTAGGTAAGGCCTGTTCAGGTTCGGATTCCTGAACCTTTTCGAATGTCTTTGTTCGAGGTTCATCCGTTTCCGCGGAAGACGAGAGTGAAGAATTTGCATCCACGAAAGCGTCCGGCTGATCGTCGTCCGACTTAGACTCATCTGAAGGTTCCGGCGTTTCCGACGTTATGGACTCAATGGATGGCTTATCTTGAACGATTAGGGACCCCAAGTCCTATTTTTGAATGGAAATTTGAAGTACTTGGCACTACTCTAAGGTTTATAAAGGTAAATGTGGAATTTTGTTGCATATTTGTGTTTATAAATGCACGCGTATAACACTGAGCTCTTTGCTGTTCTCGCTAGCTTTCAATTGCTACGTGAAATGTATGTTGGTTCTCGGGCAACTATTCGCTTAAATGATAATTTATGCCACTTCAACAGGATTGTAACAGGCATACAACAAATGTCCAATTATGGCTGTGTTGAATGGAAATTGTTAGCAAAAGACATTGATGGGTTGGAACAGAATAGCATGCGATGAAGCGTGCTGTCACGTTTCATGCAAACACGGTTGTGAGAGATCACGTGAACTAGCCGTCCAACCGCAGTCTTGACGCCTACGCGCATTCCGGGGACAGTCGTCGAGAGGCAGGCCACGGCGCGGCAACTTGGCAAACCCGTCCACGCGCAGTGAGGACATAGTTTGCGGCCTAGTGTTATGGCGCCCCAGGGACCTACTTAGAGCTTTGTAGAGAAGCTAAGTGAACTATGTGGCTGTATGACGATTTTAATGGTGGCGAGTTTTGTAAATTATTACGTGCCAAGGGTAGCAATACTGATTTTGTAATTTTTTCTATTAAATTGCCTTTAAATAAGATATATTTACAGTCTGAGGGGCATTTACTGTCAGTAACTAAATTTATTTCGCTTCCAAAACATGCTTATTGAAGCCACACCACATTATTAAGGACTTTGATTTGATAAGAAAAAAAATTACTGCAGGATTTGGTTGCCATGCCATCAAAGCCATACAAAACGATAAGATACACTATGTCAAAAAATATATCAACTAATCCAGCCAGCAAAATAGCATTTATCGGTGCTCCGACTCCAAATGAATGATGATACCCGTTTTACTATGAAATTTTGATAAGGCAATACATCGCATAATGCTACTATTCTCTATAAACAAACCATGTTTTTTTATGAATCGGCCCTGAATCAGCAAAATTTTTTTGACAAACCGAAAAAATCCATTTTTTCTAAATTACACATCTAGGCGGTTTTACAAAATACCTCCGCATTTGTATTTTGTTGCTAAGCTAGGTTCTAGATGAATGACGAGACAGCTGCTTGACGAAATCAACTAATCTGGTTAGCGCAGGCAAAACAGCCGACTTGGCATCAAAGGCTGCACCGAAGGCGTCCTCAGTGCGAGCTCACATGGTCTACGCTAAAAGCGCGAAGGAGTGCGGGGCGACTCCCCATACGAATGCTTAAGCTGTACTTACACTGAGGGCTCGTGAAGCGGTCACCGACATGGCACCGATCAAATTCTGCAGATCATGAAGCATCTCTTCCAGTTGGGTAAGTTCTGTGCTCCCTTCTTCGTGTTTTTTTTCGTCTAGGCCGCTTTCTCCTTTTCCCTCAGCCGGATCAATTTCCGTTTTGGAAGTCAGTGGTGACTTAGCAAGCACCTGTTCAATGCAATCCTGATAGTTAGAACCACTACGGGTTCTGGAACGCCGTCTACGGTCTGCAGGGCCGATTGCGGGAATGACAAATGCGGACTTCGATCGTTGGTGGCCTTTTTCACTCTCGGCTGTTTTTTTATTTGTAACCACGGTAGTTTTTACATTTTCCTCCTTGTTCGGCGTCGGGTATTTTGAAAGGTGAAGAAGCTGTTTGTTGATAAATCTCAGCCACATTTCGGTTAGCAGAAGCTCTGCGGTTATAAGTTCCTTGTGTGACTGGGGTAACGATTCACCGGGTTTTAGAGACAATTTCTAGAAATAGGGGAAAATAGCGACTGTTTGTCGTGGTTTGACTTTGACGGATTACCAGAGACCGTAATTTAGGGGCGAAGAGGTTCTTGCAGAGCTGAGCCTTGACTACAATATATTGGTCAAAATAATATTAATATTAGAAAGTTTGTGGGCCTCTCGATTTAATTTTTAGTGAAGTAGATGAATATTAGCACGTAGGAAACAGCACAAGTGCCAACTATCAATGGACAAAGTATTTTGATGAGTGGCTCTGTATTAGAATTTAAGTGAATTTATATTTCGTTTAATAACCAGAGAACTTTAGAATTCCACGGAATGGAACAAACAATAGCATTCAGAGTTACACGAAAGGGACTAAAGCGCTTTCCAGATTCATTGAGTCGGCTTCACCTTGGCATATGTTTCCATTCAGCTATCAATGCGAAACTTCGAAAATGTCGGTGAGGTAGACTCAAACTTGGGTGGATGGAGAGTCTTGGGGGCAGGATGGGTCGATACAATCCCTGTTCGGTGATCCAGTTTTACTCATTTTGCAAATGAAAGCTGTTGTATTCATCGACATTCTTCTGACAAAAGCCTCAAGGTTTTCCCATAATAAAACTATGCTTAACATTCTCATATAGCTGCACATTTTCCTGTGAGCCTCACCAAGAACGGGATCGTCGCTTATTCTAGGATTTGATTGAAAGAAATGGTGCCAAACCATGCATGCATAAAACTGAAGAGGCTAGAACAGCAGAGTGTTTGATATCACTGGACCTTCTGAAAACGCTCTTAGTTATTCCAGGGCAGTTTTAATTATGCATTTAAAAGTTAATAACACGTGTTTCAAAATAAACAAATGAATGTATTACTGGATGAAGTCAGCGTTGAAATGAAAACATGTGTTTGGTACACATGTGAAGTCATCAAATGTCATCAAAAGTTTTATCTGCCTTGATTTACAAGTTTAACGTAACCGAATCAATGGTCATAGTGGATGATTAGTAATTTCCGTTTGAATATCTGTGTTGCCTTATCGCACTTTCACACTCAGATAATTGCAATTACACTTGTTCTAGTTTATTAACAGTCTTGAAAACAAAATGCCACGTTGTTGTAGCGAAAAGATGAATTAATTTCAGGGGTAATTATCATCATACAGCTCTTCAGCAAAACAAGTGATTTAATAAACTTCAATGTAGTAGCTCTCATTCCGCGCAGATGGTCATTTAAGGGAAGACTCCACCAGCTTCCCTTATTTCATCAACGTTTTCAAGTAACCAAAAAATACCTTTGACTCAGTCCTATACGCAGGTTTTAAATAAACACTTTCCTTTACCATATGTAGTTTAAATTCTGTGTTTGTTTTGCTTACATCCACACCAGGCCGGTAATTTTTTGTTGCATCCGCCATTCATATTTACACAGTCATTTTTACCTGAGTTCTCGTGACACACTTGAACACAAAATGCTCGTTTGCTTTTCCCCTGTTTTTTGCATAGTAGGGTCCATCATCGCAATGACACGTTAAACTTAACCACAACAATGAGACTAGAAGTAGGCATAAGGACGTGGTACAAAAGCAAAGACGTGGTAGCAAAGCAGCCTTTAACATGCAATCTACTTCATGTTAGACAAAAAGCGCTTATTGATGGAAATAACGAGTTTCGCCCTAGTCTCTAAATTACATGAATCAATTTGACGATGTCATTTTAGTTTAAATGAAGAGATAAAAACCAGATTATTTGAATCCGGGTAAAGTTATTTTCAGTGTGCATTTAAGCGAAATGTTCACAGACCGCAGCAGGGATGCCCGATGTGGCGGACACGCATGCCACGTTCACGTGGTGTTCGCGGTGGCCGTGAAATCCTGCAATGCCTACTTTGATGCAAACTTTAAAGAGAAGACGGAATGGTAAACTGAACAAAATAGGAGTTAGACGAGTGGTTCGCACTTACCTCAAGAACTTCATTGGCATCAAATGATTCAACGTCGGAAAAGGATTGGATGAACCCTTGCAAGCCCTTCTCCATTTCGCTTATTTTGTCTAAAATTCGACACACACTCATGAGTCAAGTGTCATTTTTAAGTGTGGGTTATTGCGACATATTTTTAAGGCAGTGGAGCGACAATACTAGGCGAAGTCTGATGTTGTAGAGAGCGACAATTACGACGAGGTTGCATACAATTCGGATTAATTTAGAGTTTAAAAAACCATGTCTTTTATGTTAGGAAGTTATTTCCTGCTTTGAGCATTTAACAAATCTCATCCTCCAGTGTTATATTAGTGTTTGTGGGGCTCCGGGATAGTTAGCTCGATGAACAAGTGCTCGCACACACACACACACACACGTGCGCATACACTGATAGCTCCATTACTTTCGTGGTCTTTTATCTAAAGCTGACGATCCGGTTAAATATGAAACTGAAGGAAGTTACCTAAGCCATAAGTTAGGGCCAAGTACAATTAGCCCAAAGAAGGAAATCTTGAGTTCGCGTGAGTTACCCATTGCTTAATATTCCGTGCCTTTCGGTCGAAAAAAGGTACACCGTTCGCCACATACTTTCACGTGAGAGCGTGGTCCATCTGGACATAATCATTCCTTAATTAAAAAGACTGGAATGAACCTTAATCCAGAAAAGTCAGTCAAATAGAGGTTTTTGACTGCATCCAGTTCGTATAAAAGTTGAAAAAATGTGAAATCTTTACTTTAGGGGCATCCAATGCAAAATGAGTACTCAGATTTTTTAAATATTACTTCTACTTAGAAGCAGAAGAGGTACGGTCACCTCAGACAGTGCTACGTGCGGAAACTTACTCAAATATGCATCCGTTCCAGCTACAGTGGCATTAAATTATTGGGGGTTATAAAATAGCCAGAGTAACAGCTATTCAAAGACTTGGCTGATTGAGTGCATTAGGAAGAATTCCATGACTCTAGTGAATACAACTTACCAGTAAAATGAGTAATCTGCCTTTCAAGGGCCTCCGGCGAAGAATTATTGGCGGACATGTCTGGTTCCACTGTCTGAGAGACACAGTTAATGTCTATCTTGGGTTCCGGTGATTCCGTAAAACCTCGAATAGCTTTGAGAGATTTTGTTTCACCTTTTGAGTCTCCGGACGAGTGCATACTCACAGGAGGGAGACTAGAACGGGTCTTTTGCATAGCCAGGCGCCGTTGGTTGGAGAATTCCTCACGTTCTTTAATGATATTCAGCCACCTGCAGAGATATACCACAAGGACCTGAGAGTTGCAGCCATTTACCTCAGTACAGGGAAACGGCCTGTTTGATTCTAAATATTGACTAATTTTTAGGCATAATAGCCATCTGTACTTCGGTTTCCCAAATAATTATAGCACTGACCGTGGACTTAGTAGCAAGTTAACTTCTTCCAATTTTTTGAAGCCGATTCTTCGGTGAAATGACGCTCAGATTTTTAAATCCACAAGCATTCAACGTTTGCGAAGACAATTTAGTTCTTGCATATGAGGCGCTTTAACATTGATGTAATCGCAAGTCAAATAAATTTTAACTAACTGAAGTTCGAAATCCTGTTCCACACTTGTCGGGAATATCAACGTCCGAAGGAGTCATTGTGAAGTGGTGAATTATTGCTATCCCCAACAAAGTGTGCGAAGGATAAATATATCTTTAGCTACCAACATGGGTTTCGTACATCTCAAAAGGGAACAAATTATCAAAAAAAGTTATTCACAAAACAAAAATTTTTCATTCGAAGTTTTAAATAAACGAGCCGATGAGTATTCGACATACTTTTCTCTTGTTTCTTTTGAGGAAAAGGATAGCCGTAGAAGAACAGCTTGTTCCTTGAAGATCATATTGAGCATGTATTCGTGACCTAAAACCAATGTTAAATGCATTTTACAGTGATTTAAAAAGTTTCTATTTAAGTGTTAGAGATTCAGTTTCAATGTGGTGAAACCCTCAGGAAGGCTCCATTTGTAAATCGCGTGAGTCATGCTAGGTTGTTTATTAAAGATAAACCTCCGCGTAGATAGAGAAACTTAACAAAATTTCCTCGCATTAGTTATTGGAGCATTAAAATACCCATTACCTATTGCATTCCACCGTTGGATCCGAGGTTGCATCCAGTGACACATGATTTGGCCAAATGCACAGTTTGGAAGAGTGTGGATGATTTACGACAAGTGGCATTCACACAGGCATAATAGAACATCCTGTGATGATTTATTGACGATAATTTTGTTCCTTACATTAATTTCTCTTAAGTTTTCCTATCTTCAGCATAAACACAAATACAGATAACACGTGAAACTGTGATTAACGTCTGCATCTATTACGGGATTGATCACACCACAGTTCCCGCCTCCCTATTGATAGTAGCGAATTAGCATTTTATTTATAAGAAAATGCTGTGTCAAAAATTAATGTGGACATTCCGATATAAAAATTAGAGATAATCTGTTCATCTACCGGGGTATATTGAATTCAACACAAGGGAAAAGCAGCACACCATCTAAGTGTCCGCGACGCCTGTTTAGGAAAATCGGGAGTGGTGATGAAATGCGTGAAATGTCCGAAATCGCATACACCAACTACCTTAAAGTTAGCGTTCAGTTACTTGATTGAGGAAATGCTTGCGAACCTACTCTCTAATGATGTTTAGAAATGGGATCTCTTCAAGAATCGCACTAGGTTACTTTTTAACCATACGCACAGACGTTGTAACGATTTGAGTCCCTTGATTTGTTGGCCCTAATGACTGCCTAAGCCTAAGGTATTGGTCATAGTTGCGGATGTTGAAAGAAATCATAATCTACCAATTTTTTCTCCCCGTGAAGTAAATACGGAGTCTGTTGAAAATACGGGAGAAAGTTTCATAGTGTTCCCAAGCATGTTTGGGGTCGATTGTGTGGTTCCCAGCGAAGTCGCCGACACCCCAGCATTAGCATTTTCCACGCTCGCTTCCTTCGAAGGCTTAAAAGGTCGCAGACCATAGCGACCACCATCTTTGACAAGAAGAACAAGAGCACAGTTGAGCAGGATTGCAAGGACGTCGGTTCTTTCTTTAACATAGTCATAATTGACTCTGTTGTCACTAGTAAAGGTCAATTTGTCCACCGCTATCTCGGCGTAGTCGATGACCCAGTAACGGAAAATTGTGCGTGGAAACTCCAGAAGAATATCCTAAAATATTACGATGGTAGCGTCAGAAGTTGAGTATACAATGCCTGGTTGTTAAGTTACATGTGATTCTCCCTAGTAGTTACTGTACCAATGGAAATTCAGATTCAATGTATTTTACCATGAGGTGGAAATTGAAACCTGTCTGTTAAAATTTACACCATGGTTCCGCGCTATTAGTAACTTGAGGCTAGTTTATGTATATACTTATACGACTACTCCTATTATATCTTTGTTACTCGATAAACTAGATCGTACAGTTGTACTAGAATAGCAGTTCTGTAAGGCTACCGAATTAAGCGAAACTAGCATCTTTCCAAATTTAGCCTCAGCATTGAGGATCACACCACTCCCAAAACAGTGGATGGTTATATTTTACATCACAAGTACTGGTATAAATACAGAATACTTCGACGCCAGCCGTATCCTGGAAATGGTAACTGCTTAAATTGTAGTTGTGAATTTTAATCTAGTCCTCCGTTAAACCGGTGTTAAATCGGATGAAATTCTAGTTTAACGTGATGCTAAATCTAAATTTCGAAGTTAAATTTTGGTTGAAAATGGTTGCGAGTACTATGCATAAAAGAATATCCTAAATTTCAAGGATAACACACGATTTGTGTGCACTTTATGTGCGCTTTGGTTTGTTGTGCTTTCAGGTGGGGCCACGCTTAGATGAATTATAGCGACTAGTCAAACTCCTGTTTAGCGGTATAACCTGAGCCGATGAAAACTTGATTCATTAAGTGGTGGGTACCAATACACTGTGCCAACGATAACAAAGATGGAGAATAGGGAAGCAATGTGGCAAATCACAGATCATGGATCAGTCCCTCGAAAGAAGTGTGGATTTCACACTAAGTTGGCATCAACGGCTTCAAATCCAGCATTTAGGGTTAGCAGAAAATCTAATGCATGGTAAACATCAAAGTGAACGGAAATCCATGGCCTAGAAAAGATCTTTTTAATACGTGTCCTGAAGGCATAAAACCCATTCATGCACATGCGGTAGAAGAGACCACACATCAAGAACCGTGGGGAAAAAAAGGAAACAAAGGACTACGCGTGAACATAAATGAAGATAAGGGTTCACCAGGTAGGGAGAGTGACGCCGAGATGTATCTGAAAGTAGAGATTTCAGAAAATATTGCGAAACGTGAGTCCGGGATTAAGTTGAGCTTAATGTAATCTGTTATTTAGAAAGATGCTGAAATGAAAGAGCATTCACACTGTGACGAGTTTAGGCTAGTATATCAAAGGGTTATTTAAGTCTTTCAGCACAATTGATAAAATTTCATCAGCAGGTCATTTTCAATACAGGTGTGCCTTTCCCAGACACCCCAACACCACAGCTACCCCGAGACAAGTAAATGCATAATCTGGGTACAAGCCTTTTTACAAAGGCTGGGGTTATGCGATGGGTAAAAATGTATTTCGCGCATTCAAAGCAATCTCATATACAGATCGGGGAGCCACAAGGGACGACGACTGATGGAAGGAACCAAATGGAAGCTAATCAAACACCAGACGTATATAATCACGTTCAAGACCCGCTTAAGTAACTAGTGTAATATTTAATTTAAGGGAGTCGTGCTTTGGTTCACGCTGCCTTGAGCTCTGGGTGCAAGATCTAACCTATAAGAGTTGACCAAAATGTAATATCAATGGGCTTCAATGTATTGGTGTTTATTATAAGATCGCTGAAAAGGGTTTAGCCCAAAAAATTGTCAAAGCAGGAAGACGGGCCGACTTGACCATGTGAACTTCGTTATTTTGTTTGTGCGTGTGGCACGCTCACGCGTGGCCAACTGCGCCCACGACCAGCGCGGGGACAGCGTCGGTTCAGCTGGGAAGCACCTGTTTCCACTGGCCACACGAACTGCGCTAACAGAGGTGTAACAAAGACGCACATACAAGCACGCACACGCAACCCCTCGCATCGCTAAGCGGCTTGGGTGTTTGATGCACATTACAACTGGTCCTTCTGCCGCGTGTTTGGTTTGTGTGCAGCTATTCCCATTCAATACACAAATAATAGAACACGTGCAGTTGGTAAGTGCATTTCGTCGTATGAAAGTGGAGTTAGTACGAGGAGAGGGGCGCCACTATGCCCTCGCACGAGTTTAAACATCCGTCCAGTAGTAACACTGATAAAGGGGGCTATTACTAACGTGAACAGTGCAAAAAAAGCCATGTGTGGGGGATTAAAGCGTAGTGGACAGGACTAATTATATTCTGGTGAAATTTACCAGGATTTCTCGCACACTCGGTAACTGAATTAGTTTCTTTAGTGTTTGTTTTCGACGTCCAAAAAAAACAAGACCACTGAGAATCGATTCGGTAAGCCTATGCAGTTACTGTAGAAACAATTGAAAAACATGTGCAATAAGGAAGTAAAGCCTATATAGTCACATCCTCGATCTGTACGCTTGTCCGAGTGACCACAATCCTTTTAAAAAATTACTAGCACTTAACAGAAATGTCAGATGTTGGCCTATCGTAGCAAACAGAGTACCCAATCAGCTAACAGCGAAGAAGCTCTCTGGTAGGCATGTCTTCTGTACCTAAGTAAGTTGGGAAATTTATGTTCAAAAATGCCTCAGCAATTAAGGCGGTAAGCGTAAGGCATTCAAGCCACTTAACTTTGACTAAAATAGCATACAATTCGGCGAAGTTACAAGGAACTCTAGACTTACCGCAAATGGCACATTGCCGCCCTGTGCCTGATGACGTGTTAACTGCTCGCCCTTGTCCACAGTGGAGAAGAAGTGGCCATCATTTATTAACTTCACAAGGGGCATGCAAATCTTATCAATTGAGTGCGGAATGCTTGCCAACTTGGTATGAATCTCCTTCCATAATTTAGCTTCGTCTGAAAGGAAGATAGCATATCCTTAAAATGCATTTTCCCTTCGACACGAAGAATTTTTTCTAGAAGAAGTAGGACATCTGCAAATGGCTCCAAACAATGAAAGAAATTAGGATCCACCTTTCAATTTATCTTCTTTGCACCCTCTACTCCGTGTAAAGTTTTGGTGAACTTATTAACGTTATGTGTAGGCATGTACTTGTATTATTATCAGTAGCCAACCAACGCTCAGAAGAGTAGGCTAACTAATTAGAGAAACTCTAGTGCGCGTCGCTGCAATGTCTTGATGCAGTTGGGCATCATTAGGTGGTAGCGTCATCGTCATCGTCGTCGCTACAGTAGGTGAGCGCCACAAGACGGGCGGTTGTCACGGGGAGCTGGGTTAGCGCTCGAGGTGGCACGTGATCGCGGGACGTCCGCCGTGGGGCATCAAACCACTGCCTAGGCAGTGGTTTATTGGTGAAATCGATGTGCCACAATTTATTAACAACAAGTAGTTTTTTTTTTCAGTTTCCCTACCCCCTGGGTAAGTAAACGGCAGGACGATTAACCCAAATCTGGTCCGGTGCTCCCTAGGCAACCACCGGAGCGCCCTAAATTTGATTTTTCTTAAAGGTAACTGCTATGGTAATTAATAAAGGACAAAGATAACAATTTTTGTCACGGTAAGTTTAACAAGTTAGAGAAAAAAATGCTAAAACACGGACATGGGACTTGTGAAATTTTTACAGAATTTTCCTGGCCCCTCCTACTCGATTATGTGAACACGTCTACTCAATCACCATGAGGTAGTCCTTTTTTAATTGCAGCACAGAGTGGATCGACTGCAAGAAAATTCAGATTTTTTGAAATAATTTTCAAATGATCCTTATTTTAGTCATCTTTAATGACACATCTGAAAATTATCATTTATGGAAGAGCTAATTATTTCAATTGAATGCAGAAAACTAACTTCCAATTACTTGGTTGTTCAGCGTAGTCAGAGTGGTGCGGAACGATGAATCTAAATCCTAAAACTGAAGCGATAATTCCGCTTTTGGAGATCGCACTTGATTTGGTGTAAGACTAATCGACTACGACTGTCTACTTTGTACGTGCTGTATCCTCTTACACAGCAATGTTCCAAATTAAAACAGTCGTACTGTTGAATTGCCTTGTACAGCACAGTGAAATGTATTCATATCTTCAGACAACTACTTGCCCGTTTCCAAAATACTTATACAAACATACATTAACTGAATGCTTTAAGATGGAAGATTGGGTAAGGTAATTGATAAAAGTTTTCAAGTCGTTAAAACACCTAAAACAATGTTAAATGGATGTTTGCATTCTATTTTGACGTCGTTATTAGTCGAGCACTCATGTTATAGCTGTCGAGGAAATGCAAATCCCTCGCCTTAAGCTCCGTTTATATCTATGGTCCGTAAAAGGTGAAAAAGACAGGTAACATCTGTAATCAATTGCAAAACAAATGAGAAGACTCAAAAAATTTGACTTTTTGTGGGCGAAATGCCCTGGTTTTTTAAAAACCAAATGTGTTTTGTTCATTCGATCAAGAAGGCAAAGGTATGCATACAAGTAGACATGAGATTTCTTAAAAATTAATCATCTTAGAGCCTTTTCAACTTATGTAAAGCGAGAGAAAGCGTCTCTGTAGGCGCCACGCATTTCACCACCAATTCAGCCAAGCAATGTTTCACAAAAGACAAATCCTTAATATTCACTGCACAAATGTCGATTTGTGTATTAATAAATATAATCGATGAAATCGACGATCAATTCAGTAATTAAGATACAAAATTTGCAACATAAATCCGTTTAAATATACAACGACATTGTGTTGTGATGTGATGGCATAAACACGGTACCACGCCATTGCAGCAGAAATGATGTGCACGGTAAGTCCATTGGGTGTCACTAACAGAGGTCAAAAACGCTCAGCACGACAGAAGCCTGGTACCACACAAACTTAATGAATAAAAATTAAGACAGCAAAAGGTCGCTATTCGTCAGCCTCTGCTCTGTAGCACAGAGCTGAAGACGCTTTGATAAACTAATTGAGGTTCACAGACGATCACTTATGTGTGCTAACATCTCTCAAATTGAGTGGCGGAAAGAACAAAGGTCGACCCAAAATTGCCCATTCACCTGGGTGCAAAATGGAATAAACTCAGAGTGCACAAGGAAACAGAAACCCACTTTTATAACTAGAGGTTTTTTTCTCCAAATCCTTCATTATGTTATTGGAAATGAGAGGTAGGTTGAAGTAGAGTACTCGGACCTGACTAAGACCCTCGATGAGGACGAACTTATTGAAACGTGTCTCCAGCAGTGGCTGAATATCTGGATGCTTCCGGCCATACTCCCGGACTGTGGCCTTGACGGAGTCTAGCATATTTGTGCAGGACAGGGCCTGACAATCGCGTAACCACGCCTGTAATAAGTGGAAATGAAGAATAAGGGTAAGTCAATTTTTCGTTTTGGAGAGAAGGGAAATTTTGGTCACCCCATGGCCAAATTTAGGTGACGACATAAGTGATATCTTTTGTAACGTAATTTGTTTGCACGAGACTGGGTATTTCCAAAATTATTAATTTGGTGTAATGTATACTACTTACATAAATGATCTGCTATGTCTGCCTTCACTACCAGAAAATAATCAGTTACTTAAATGATAAATTTTCATTACTTCCACATGGGACAATTGATTTCACTCCTCCTGCTTTGACAAAAAAATCTACTCAAAACTAACTGTTTTAATACAAAATCTATGTTGAGTAGCATTTGTAGATGGACAGCTGTTACATACAAAAAGAGTGTAATTTGGTTTGCGATATTTTGAAATTATGTTAAGAGATTAATTTAACTGGGATGCAGTAAGTTAAAACCATTCAACTTGGCATAAATCTGTCCAAAGTGTGACCTTAGAACCTGCGGATTTCAATCACTGCCAAAAGTGAATGACCGCACACCAGAGACAGACTGAAGGCCAGACGGATTTCTTAAAATGCTTTTATTGGGGGAAATCGTTTAAATACTAAAATAATAAACTTCCCATTAAAAGGAATATCGGATCGTTTCGCGAAAACCAGTAGTTAAATAATCAAAGATACTGATAAAAATTATTTCCTTAAATTTTTTCCGCGTAGGTTGAATTTTGTTAGTACGTGAAAACTGCATTTTTCGTGTGAACCGGTTTGTGTGGTTCGGTGGTGCATGCCGAGCTCTCCTGAACAGCGCCATCAATCTTCCGACGATCCGCATTGCACAAACGGGGAACTTGATGCAAGCCGCAGGATCCCAGCTGTTTGGTCTAAGGCGGATTCGCCTGGGGGGTGCTATTACATGCATTTTTGCATCAAAATTGACCCAATTTCGTTATAATACGTGCTAATTTATTACGGAAATGACATCATCAATAACCTTCATCCACGTAGGCTGCCAGTGTCCACATTAGTGTCACATGGACGCAAAATGCAAGTCCTTCCACTTTGTGATTTTACACACCACATTCAAATCTCCCATCTCGACACAGCCACTACTAGCAACTTCTCCATGGCGATATATAAATCCGCGCGCCACATGAAAGGCACTTGATACCTTAAGATTAGCTTCATCATCCTCTGATAGCCACGCCAGCACTGCCTCGGCCATTTTGCCATAACCCTGGGGTTCTAGCGTTCCTTCAATTGTGTGCACGAGGCTTCGGAAGAGTCTAATGAGACGTGGAATCCGATCTAGGGCCATAATGTCGGCGAGTCGTTGGTGCTCCTTGGGCCAGCATTGCAGAAGAAGGTAGTCAAACTGCTTTAGGTAACACACCATGTAGCGCACTTTTTGGTGAAACTCCAGCAGGACTAAGGTCCTTACATGATCCTCAACCCGGGGACCCTGGAAGTGAAAACAAAAACACCCCATTACAGAAGTTTCCATTCCTAAAAGCGAGATAAATGAGTGACATTCTTGCTGACGGCTACCAAGTCACCCAACTAGCCATACAATAACGTGTAGTTTTCAAACCTCTATAAGGCATCTGGTTTTAAACTTTAATTTGGTTTTCCGGCCGTGCAGAGACCAAGTCTCTAACAAATGTTTTACTTGTTCAAATTGCAAAAGTATTAAATTAGATATTGTAATTTATGTTTTATTTAATTTCAAGGTGATCTTGGTAAAGACTACCTAAAGTTGCACGCAGCCAATCAGCCAGGAGAGGAATATGACATGATCCACGAATAATAGAGGCTTAAGTGTTTTTAGGGTCACTGATGATTGGCAAGGAAACAAGATGCGCTAGTAGAAAAGCACCACCCAGCGCATTGGCGAAGGCAAGAAAATCCTAAAAACTAAACCCCGTGCCACAAAAACAAAGCGTGCCAATCCCAGCCTTGTTGCATTTGTATTTTCGGAAAAACAGACTAAGGGAATAAGATGACAAGAGAACGTATTAGTAGCAAGTAATGCATGGCTAAGGGGCTTCATGAAAAGAATTGACTGTGATAAAAACAATGACTGCGGTCTATTTGCACAGTATCTGAGCTATTTTTAGTAGTTGGCGGCTTGTTTGTCGTGGTGGAAAAATCTGAAGCCGTCGTCCAAGGAAAAAAATACACAGCATTCGTGGGGCTTAGAGCATGAGTTAAATCGAAATCTACATATTTGGCTTATTTTAATGTCTATTAAACGGAGCACCTTAGTTGGAATCTCATAATTTGGGAAGTGAATTCGGAGCTCAGTAGCAGCCTCAAAAGTCTCGAGAGCGTTCATTTCAGGGTCTCCGGACCAGGTGGGGACAAGTTCTGGGACATTTGCTGCCGCTGAAACCGACGCTGACGAAGAAATGGCGTGGGGTGCAGACGGCCGCTTTAAATCGCGATCCGCCATTAGTGGAAGTTGCATCAGGGATGCGGTGCTGAAACAAGAAAATCGCAGGCCTGAGTGCTGAGTTGTTAAGTGTGTTATTCAGGTTATTTTTGGAAAAGAATTTGTGAACCTTGCAATCTTTTAAACTGTTCTGCAACATCACTTATATTCTGCGATTATTTATTCAGCTTTCACCTGTCTTTAGTATCGAGTATGAAATAAAAAAGTAGACAATTTGATTGGATAAGTAATATTGCCCGGCAAGTTGGTCAGCATGCGAGGCAGACAAAATGTGGGACCCTTTAACGTTCTAAAGAGCTAGCATCTACAAAGTGTCCGAAATCCGCAATTAAAAATTGGACTAAATTATTACGTTCCAACGACCCCGCTCCGCAATTCGCCTGAACTTTGAGTGCCATTTAGTTTGGCATGGCTCAGCGACCTTACTGAGGTCTCGCCTAGAGAAGAGATATTTCCTAAAGTGCAGTTTCGTATTCACAAGAAGCCTTAAAAATCTGGACCTCAGACATGGCCTTCTGGCTAGCCGACCAAGTCGCGATTCTTGTCAACACGTTTTAATCATTTTTGTCACGAAATACTGCTGTTGAGTTCTTATAAAGTTCTTAGAATCCTAAATGGTTTTAAAGTGAATATTTCAGGTAATCAAAACATGCAAGGTATTCAGTGGAGGCTGACTGGCGCCGATGTCGTCGCGCTTTAATCTTGCGTCCTACGGAGCTGGGAATCGCAAGAATGCAGTCAATACCAAAGTGCTGAAGCCACCAAAATAATTAAACATTTGCGGCTCAAGTCTGCCGGGACCGCTCTCGTTGTACACTTGATTTGAATATGGACGCCTATTCTAGGGAAACAGGAGAATAGGCGTTTTCTAATTTGCCACACTTTAAAAGCGGTCATGAGCAAACCGTATCAAAAAATTTGACCGCAAGTAGAGGCTGATCCAATGGAAAAACTTAGCTAAACTATCATCCTTAGAGTCACCCTAAAGGGGGTCAAAATGTTAGTCCTCATAACTAACTCCTAGGTGTGAAGACTAGTACATGCTCTAGAAGCTTTTCAATCTGTAGTTAACTTCAAAAAAGAATGGCTTAGACAAGTGCATTTACCGTTGGCTCCAGTAAAATTTGCACTGCCTCTGTAAGCATCCGAATTCACTAATTTGTTAACCTTTCATTCCCGTCGCAGTCATAATTATGACATAATGCTAAATAACGCGTTATGGATTCAATGAACATCACAAATTACCCATCTTCTTAATTGTTGGCAGAGTAAGACTAAGTTTGGTTAATTTAAGTGGTTCAAAAAGAAACACATTAGCAATAGACCTGAAGAATCTACTACGAGGCAATGAGACTGTTAATTATCAGAGGTTTTGATAAGTTACGAGGAACCCAAGGCGATACAAACAAGCATTTTCTGATAAGCGTAACTTCTAGCCTCACACCACGAGGCTCACCTGGCAGCATGCTGTCCTTTTAGAGATGAATTATGGTGGCTTATAAGAATGTGGAAAAACACTTGCCAGATACCACATCGAAGTTGTGAGAGTGATTCACACTTGAAAAGGTCAGTTATAGTTGTTTGCGAATTTTCGATGTTGTTTACCGTCAAGATTCGTGTCTTCGCCGGCCACGAACTTGTCATTGGTACTGACACACACTCGCTTCACCCTTGTAGCTGCTAAATTTGGCGCAGTTGCTAGGATTTTCATTTACTCTACCTACATATACGGGAGTAGCGACTTATGCGCACAATATGGTGGTCTTGATTAAAACCTACAAAAGCACGAAGTCGAAACGCCATCCTATTAATAGGTACTGTGTGTGGCTGTCAAAGACGTGAGCATGAAATAAGAGAATGCGTGGCATTTTTAGCACCTTACCCTAAATTATAGGTGTAAAATGTTACATTTTTCAGTGTTACAGGTTTTGAAATCATTTTTAGTTGAGGATATCAATTAATATTCTAGGCTACCATTGGGTTGTGAACCGCGATACGCAGTAAAACAAGTCTACTAAGCACTAATTAATCCAACCCTAACGCATTTGTAAGCTGGGGCAAAATGATTTGGGAAAACAAATACAAGTGTTAGTTTCAGTAAATGGATTTGTAGAAGTCATTGTCTTCTCTGTCACCTGAAGTAACATTTTCGTAAACAAAAACATCGCGACTAGTCCCGGTTCTATGGTTAGTGTGTTTTAAATACCAACAAGGCAACCATAGCACCAAATCAACGCACTATGACTAGAGATAAACTAGTGAAATTCGGCTACTTCGACTAGTTCCATTTTAAATAGACTAAAGAACAATATGAAGGCTCAGCAAAATCATTCTGTGGTAAAATTGACTAAGCGTACATTTTGGGATGCTTGGATGACCACATTAGAACCTGTTGAGCATGCCCCGAAACTTCAGAAAACAGAAAACGCAGTAGAAATAAAAGATTTGAAACCAGGCAACAGGATATTACAAACATTTGTGTAATACAAGTAGGATTGTTGTTATAAAAATATGTCCTCACAAAGACATTTGACATGTACAGTTAAAAGCAAGTTTAAAGAACATATCAGATTCGCTCTGCAAAGCCATTAGGGAGTTAGCTTTTCAATGACAAACACACCGTGGTATAGTTTCCTTTTACGAGGGAATGGTTTGCAAAAAAGAACCAGGGTAATCAGTAAGGGACCCAATCTGCATTTTGTGAATAATTGCTGTCAGCAGAAGTCTGCAATAACATCCAAAAAAGTAAAAACTTGTGCCTTACAAAAATCAAACTTAAATGAATTTACCTAATCGTATAACGTCTAATGACCGACCTTGATCATGATAGGTAAATATCTGGTATACATATTAGGTCATTTCTCCGCCAATATGTCAGAAAATTTTGAACAGCGTCATGGCAACCGGAATTTCTTATCTTGGCTTTTCTGAATGACTTAACGGAAGAGGCAAAACTACAGTCGAAAAAGGCATAATTTAGCCATACGGCAAAAACCACGAATGTACAAATAAACTTACTGTTTGGAAAGCGCTGCAGCCGCTGCACTACTGGAATGATTATCAAGCTTCTGTTTCACATTTCGAACGTAACCTGTGTATTGGAAAAAAAAACAAGTAATGAAGTTGTCACAATTAGAGGGATAGGTACGCTTGATAATGTGAAATAAGCTTCAAAGCAAATAGAGCCATGCAGCTTTAAAGTGGATGTACTTAAGTAAACAAGAGAGGTCGCGTTAGGTCTTTGACTCGTGCTTTCAGGTTAAAGAGGAATTCGTCAACATAAACTGTCCAAAAGATGCGTCAATCGTAGTGCTTAAACATGGCGTGACACTTTTAGCTGAGTCTACAAGGTGACGGAACCCTGAATTTGGAATGAAAATTTTTGTACTGTTATTACCTAAGTTGCTTAATTATTAAATGAAACTTATTACGGTTTTGTGGAGTTCTGCAACAAACAGACATACTATTTTCATTCACCAAAGAATACTCAACCGAAAAAAACACTGGTCAATGAACCCTTATTTTTTTATTCACGCTTTTAGCCTAATTAGCCTAATTTGAGAGCACACATACAACACACTTACTTCTGACAATTTATTTTTGAATTGTAAATTAAGCATAAACATAGTGGCTCATTGAATAACAGGTAAAAATGCAGAGATTCAGCTTAATTCAGTGCAAAAATAGTATTGCATGGACCGAAATCAACAACACAGAGGTTGCGCATAGTACACGGATCGACTAGACAAAATGTTCTCAAGTACCACGCTTTGAAAAATGTAAACCGCGATCGTTATTAGTGAATCGCAGTTAAAAAATCCTTTTTCTTAGCAAAACAGAGAATTCTCAGTTATCTTAATTTGCCTGAAATCCCGCCATATCATGTCTTTAGCTGTTCACATTTGCACAAATCCGACGGGATGTGACGTCAGCATCCGGTCGTTATGGTGGGATTTCCCGATGTTCGCGTGAATTGCGAATTGCGATAAAAAGGCTGCGGAGGTGGTCGCATGTTAGTGACGAATACTGTCCCTCAATTTGCATAATTGGGAATGAACATGTAGCTATTGCGACAAACCTATTTGGTTTGACTCTTTGGATGACAAGGAAATGTGAGGTTACATGACTTTAGTCAATAAACTGCGTCCCGAGTCAATGGTGGAGGCTTTAACACAGATGCTGATATGTTTACCGCCTTCTGCCCACCAGTCAAGCGGGAATATGATAATTGATTTAACAACTTTATTTGGTTGGGCGTTGCCTTCTTTAAACCCTGTACCGACGGAAATGAATAAGCAAGCAGAAGCAATTAATGTAAAGAAGCATTTATACGTACATCCACTTTCAAAGCAAAAACCTTTACATAATTTAGGGTAGGTATTGTTAATTGTATAACCAGTAAATCGAGTACTTCTATATACGTAAAGCTGAAGCATGGATTGCGCCTCAAGCTGGCGTAAAAATATTGCATTTGGACGAATCCAGGACTCACAACCCAAATGATAGTGATTTGGGTTGTAATTTTCGTGGCCAGTAAGTGAGGTATGATTAAGTAAAGTCTCGATAAAACAAATTGCCAGAAGCTAAAAATTTCCTAATCAATCTGGAGAACTAAATAAGATGACATGTTTGACGGGCACATAATAAGAACTAAAGATAGAGAATGTGTCGCATAATTAAAAGTAAATATGAAATTGCAAAGCTAAAAAAATGCAAATAATATTGTATCGATCCATCCTTATGAGCTGATGCACGGACTTGATCTCATCTAAATTTGATTATTGTTATACATAAATAACTAGGAATTCCAAATCACTTTTATAATTACCTGAAAAACGTGTACGATTGACCACCAAAATGGTGTGTGAAATAAAAACGAGACTGACAGCCACGTCCCAAAATTGTCATTCGCTAATTAATTTTGGTAATAACTGTAACACTTACAGGTATATGCATTCAGTGCTCAGCATACCTATACACAATCCATATATTTTGTATGGAAATTTTGTGTATTAAATAACATCACCCAAAATTCCAGTATCTTACCTAAGCATCTTACAGACTGTATACAAAATTTAAGGAATGTTTTTTGTTACTATGAGTTCTGGTTTAAGTAGGATACTTGGCTATCAGGAAATACCTCAATTTTAATAATTTTGTATGCTCTCCCGATTGAAGAACAAAGATATTCGAGTAAAACACGACCTAATGATTGCAATGATATAGCCGGGGATAAAGTCAAGCTATAAGACTGTAAAGTTTACAACACGTGCATGGCAGAGTTTCTAAATTACAAGGTTAAATGTTCCACAGTCTTCCAAAAAAAAAACTTTTAATTAAAGCGCATGTATAAAGGGGCCTAATCTTTCAGTGAAAATATTGTAAGTCACATTAATTTTAGCTAAAAGCATGACTCTAAGTAGAAACTAAGTCTTCACAGTAGTAGATACACCTGTAAAATGTTCCAAATATGCAGAGAAATGCACAACTCTGTAAAATGAGGAATTTCGGGGTGAATTGCTTGGTCGAGGGAGATCCATAAGGGTTACCAGATGTCCACACCAGATGCTAACATTCCATTTACCTTCAATTACATCTGGTCGCTGGAAATAGTTGAACGAAGTGCAACCCACTTTGCAAATGAATGGAACCAATCCCATGTTTATGCACATCACATAGCCCTTCAAAGCAGAGATATCTCGATAAAGACACGGAGGGTTAGTGCAATAACTGTATAGTTGACGTGGATCTATCAAATACTTCCAAGTAAGCGACAAATCAAACATCTCTGCATCCTCCACCAAGCCACTTTATTGAGTTTGTCAAATTTTCTTCAAAAAAATAACTTGTGCTTGAAATTCCGTATTGCATTGTGGTTTGTGGTAAGGGCGTTTGTTGCAGCGGAACTAGTGTGTTATTTAGATGAGGTCGCTTTGCAAATTAGCGCACAACTTTGTGTTGTGTGTTACTGGTGTTAGACTTTTACATGGTCAACAATTTGGTATTTACCGGAGAGATTTAGCGTGCTAGAAAAAAAACTCCGTCGAGATGATCCGGTTTTTCGTAAAACTTGACTGGATGAACGTATGAGAGCGATGTGAGCTTTCGAGAGGTCAGAAAGAGCTATTTATGTGTAAAAAAGCGGTAGGTTATAAAAAGTCAGCAACCAATGAAGTTAGCGCACAAAACCCAATTTGCCAGAGCAAGCAATACGAACGAAAAAAGCAAACAAAGCCACAGGGATAATGGGCGGGAAAAAAGGTGAAAACATTTGAATTACCAGTGTTGCAAACTTAACTGATAAAGTAGCACCCACACGTAGCAACATAAAAATCCATCTTACTTTGCAGCATTTAAATATCATGTTTTTAATGCACTTTTTCTCTAGTTTATCTATTAATATACCCTAAAAAGTTGCTCAATTACTGATAACAGTTGCACTGATCAGATTTGTGTCCTTTGAAAGGTTCAACCAGGACATTAAAGGCTTAGTTTGAGCTATTGGATTAGAAGCCTACCTGAGAAAGTGTGGAGCAAATGCAACGCTTCCCAAAGTCTCACAAGCAATAGTCAAATAACCAAAATTCAAAGTACGCTGTTAGTTTAAATTAACCCTTAACAAGGACACGCGAGTTTATCTTTTGTGTGCATGTCGAATTACCATTTATCAAGGTAACTCCCGACTATTGAACACGACTGGCCTCCTACAAGCTAAAAATCGACGTTTTGCCTTGACGGCCTATGAACCAGTCTGCCTCGATTTATCTTGCTCATTTTGACCATTCGCTATGCTCATTCTCACTCGCGATTCACTCCTGTGTGTTTTGCTACAGTACACAACCGACTCCCGCTTGGTCCCTCAGCATCTAACTTACTCGACTCCTAATTTTCTATCTCGTCCACCTCGGACTGCAAACGTAACTACAGCACACCGTCGACCGACCTTTCAGAGGACGAAAAGGTCCGTCGATTCCACTTGATTCGTGTCACGCCTGCGTTCCCGACGTGAACGTTTTTTTCGACCTTTCGGACCTGGCAATTGGTGATTTTCGGGTACGGCTTAAGCGGCGTGTTGAGTCCGTTTCACGCCCTAATAAAAAAGTCACTCCTCAAACCATTCTGCCCTGCTTCGAATATCAGCGGGACCGTTACTATTTGACAACGCCCGACTCCAGGCCCCGATTCCCTTTTTTCGCTCAACCTGGATTTCACTCTACACCCTTCTGTATCGGACTATCTTTATTACTCAATTCCCGCCTAGCTAAACAAGGTTTGTTCTCTGGCCCCAATCATCTCCGGCACCCTACTACTGTCCTGACGACGCCAAATCCCCGGACACTGCCTAAACTCTTGACGACGAACATCGTTTCCCAACACCAACAATCGCCAACCATCCGTCCTAACCCCGTCACTCGACCCTCGTTTTTCTAATTCCAACCGCATCTCTCGAATTAACGACCTCGCAATTCGACGCTTGCTTGGCAAGCCTCTTCGATCTATTCTCGGCCTGGTTCTCGACCAGATCTGACGACGTCAGAGACATTACATGCTCAAACCTTCCAACGATCAACCTTTCAGATATCCAGCTGGTAGAAAAGGTTGTATCGCCAACAGTTATTCATTCCGAACGTCTTCCGACAGCGTACAATTGCGCCAAGCGTTTCATTCACAATTCGGCGACGACTATTCGCCTCGCTTAAATACCAATGTTCGTTCGTTTCTAACGCCTGAAATGGCCCACACCATATTTACGACCTCCCTTTCAGAAAATGCTATTGGAAGAAAAGGTCCGTGCATTCCATTAGTTAAGAAGGAGAGCAGTAGTGAATCGTGTTGATTCACGTTCAACACCCCGGTCGTCGCAGCCTCACACACGCACGTCCCCTCTGTTCACGACCTGGCCGTCAGTCACGTGAGGCAATTGGTTCACTAACCACTGTGCACGTCCCACCACCACCTGTTTAGTCATGTGACCTCACAGACACCTGTCTTTATTTTTGTACATGTCCACTGAACCGTAATTGTACACGACACAACTTGATTGAGGTATCTAGTAAACGGTTGTGCCTTCACAACCCCGGTCTTCTTTATTTTCGCGGGAACACAGGGTAACGTATTCGGCCTAGATTGTCGCAGTGGCCCCGGCGTGGTTCAAGACTACATGCCGGGGCCCTCAGCAATAGTTTGCTTGATCCTACAGATGACCCTCTTAACGTACATCCGGGACAGCCTGTTTCTGATAACGGTCGGTTTCAAGGTGGTTGGTCAAATGAAATCCGTTCCAGCTTACGACCGGTGACCAAAGGCTTACTGACACAATTTATTGGCCACGAGTAAGTTCAGTAAGTTGGTTATTGACTCCTGCACGTTAAATCTAGCTTGCTTTTCTTGAAGCCATTATTGACAAGCTGGTAAATGAATTGCCGTGCCTGACTGGTTGCGTTGCATTGTTTTCATTTTGTTTGATTTCAGTTTTCCCATGAGTATAAACGAATAGCAAGAAAATAGAGATAATAGACCACAATCCTCTGTGAATCGGAGAACTGGCAACCCCGTCATGGCTAATAACCCCTATTCTTCCTGGACTGGATTCAACGACCTCCGGTTTTCAGCGCAGAGATAAATATAAGGCTCCATAGGCACTTTCCATTAGGCACAGAACCTAGATATCCTTTAGCGAACGCCATATTCGGCTTCGCTCGGCAAAAACAACGATTCAACAGCCAGCGCAACAGCGTCTTCATCGTCTCGCAACCGATTGAAACATTTCCTGCCAGGCCAAAATAAGCGATCATTCGATCTCGCTCGACCTCGCCTGCATATCCGGGAATATTGATTACCTTTGGCAGAAATTATTTTGGAAAGAATTTGAATATGCCTGGGACGGATATTGCTATGTGCTGAGCGTGATTTATTGCTGATTTCTGGGTCATCGTAGGCCTGTTTTCCCCACAATCAAGCCAATCACCTATATAACCCTGTCCGTTTTGATTTTTTCACCACGATCATCTCAGATTAATGAATTCATAATCCGGGATTTAAAAGTGGGTGCGCATATTTCTTCCACAATCTTTGCCCGGACATCTGCTTTCTCAAATTGGTTGCTTCTGTAGGTTATCGTGTTTCCAGACACAATGGACACGTCCTTCAGAGAAGGAGTTTTTAGAATTCATATCCAGATTTATTTTAATGTGCGTGTTCAGAATACTCGTAGATATGGAGTGTTTTCGGCACAACACCTTGTAGTTGTCCCACATCCACTTAAAATTTATTATATCTCCCAAACTAAATTTTTAAAGTCAAAAACCACTTTTAAGGCAATCACTTACATTAGTAAAAGTTAATTGAGTCATCTTATGAAGGCTCGCTTTGGCAAAGATCTCGTGGGGCCATGAATTCAGGCCAGAACATGCACGTGATACTGAGGTGTCAATAAACTGGCAAGGGCATTGTAAACCTCTTGAAAATTACCACTGAAGACATCACTTCAAAGTCGACTCAGGAACACGATTCAGTGTTTCTGGACCTCTGTTAGTATAAGGCAGAAGTGGCCAATATTATTCATATTTTCTAACACCATCTTGAAGAATGTCAGGCATGAAAATCTGAAAGAAACTTCTATTTATGGTGTAGTAGCCTTTCTCAGTAAAATGTGGACGGAATAGACGAGTTAACACTATAAAACTTACGCGAAATCGGCTCTGGTGAGGTGATACCAGCGTGCGAACTTCCGCGAATCAGGCTTGTACTTTGAGCGTGACTGAAGCCCGAGTTGCTGCGTTTGACTTTGACGTCATCAGCGATAGCTGAAGAGGACGTCGTCGTCTCAGGGGAAAACGGCGTACTCTGAAGGGGACAATCGGACGAGCCGTCCCCCAGAAATTCGTTCAAGCCACAGGTTTGGCAATGGAAGATATCTTCGGTGGAAGCAACCAGACCAGAAAAACCGTCATCACCGCTTTCTCCAAAGTTATTTCCGTTATTTTCCAAGGGACTGGTGAAGTTACCGGCTAATGTATAGTGGTGCAGAAGAAATTGCAAAAATATATTAATTCAGGATTTGAAACTAAAACAAGCGCAATAAGAGGCGTGGATGGGTAAAATCAACAACGGGGATATAAGGTGTGCAAAACACTGATTTGAGCAATCAACACCAAAGATCCGCAGAAATAAACCCTTCGTATTGTGGATGATGTGGGTAAAGAAGAAACAGCATTAATGCAACCATCTTCAATTAGTTCCGAGATTCGGAATCCACCAATGTATTAGAACGCACATATCTTCACAGAAATGCATACCATAACTTTAAAATTACTTTCTAATTACGGCAAGGCGTAATTACTTTAGCTTTAAGTGCTTTCCTTTATGGATCGTATATCAATAAGGGCATGGAGCTACCGCAGTTGTTATTAAATATAAATAAATTTCTTGTGCATTTTTGGAATTTGGGCACATGCATACGTGAATGTTAAATGCAGCGATTCTTTCTTGCATCTTCATGAAAGATGGTGGCAGATCCAAAAGTAGAATTGCCCAGGAGGTTGCGTCGTAGGAACCAGTTGAAGGTATCAACTACGGTCTTATTTGAATGCGATTGAAGAAAATTTTTTTCTAAAAATTGCAACCCTTTTTCGGCCTACGCACCCGAAGCCACAAAACACTGAACAGAAAAGCTTTGATACAACGCGCATTGGTGTACCCAAAATGTGCATAATTCGACCACTACAAAGACTCCTAGCTCTTTTTTTGATTAGAGCCTAGACAAAAACTCTATGACACGTTTTTATTATCTTTTTGCATCAAATAATCATTTCAAGGATACTTAAAATGGCAAATTAAACAACGAAGATTTTAGTCAATAGTACGCATTATGTACCCGAACTCCGAGGTTAATGTGGATAATAAATAAAAATCCCGAATTTCATAAGAACGGATCTTTACTGTTCTAATCATGAACACGGTGAAAAAGCGGCTTAACGAATGAAATTTTCTAGACTAGTTTTCCGCGTCCCAGAATTCCCTCAGGTGTCATTTGGTCCCTCATAGTACCGTCACGGCTGCAGTATTGAAGCCACCTAATGTGCACATTTCATGTGTCTAAACATGCGATCACGTAAGTTCTTCTGTATATTTGTATACATCTATTATTCTTTTCAATGAACGCACGTTTCATAAGGCAATGGGAATGAGGAGCACTACACCATCTCAAACAGGTTCCTGGAATAATATTTGGGAGGCTTCATAATTCAGCATGACTGTTACCGGATAAAGTGTTAATATATTTAAAAGTAGTTACAGTATCATCAATATGCGGGATGTATCATTAAGTGGAAGTGTAGAGTGACGATATTTTGAGAAAACGTTGCGCCATGACTCTGCACCCTGAGTGTGAAGGACGAAGTCGAAAGGCGAGTCCTGCTATTTGCATGAGCATCCCTAAGAAAGAGTTATAAGCTTAAGGTGCTAGGACTCTCTGAAACAGTGTGTTAAACTTAAGTGGACTAATTTAACAGGCACTATCCCTCGACCATAAAAGTTAATACGGAGCTGGACGGTAAGAATATTGATGGGGGTTGTGCAGTGCAGATGGATGTGAACAGGGCGGATTATGCTTGGTAGTGCGGAAGAGGCAGTGAGATTTCGGCCTACCGGACTGGTGTTTTGCTTTGTGTTGGGAGGCCGCTACAATAGACTCCATCGTGAGCATCGCACTCAGACTAGGACGATGCTGGGCCTTGCGCTTTCTCACGTTCCAACTACAGTAGACACGGGGGCCTTTGCACAGAAAATAGGCAAAAGTAATCTATACAACCCGTTTCAGATAGAGGCTTGAAGTTTTGTAGACGAGAGTAGCCTCTCTAAAGTAGATTCGTAGAAAACTAAAATGTTTGCGAAATTTCTTTGTACGACTCAGATTTGATGCACAACGATTTGTGATCGTGAGAAACCGTAATTTACATAGTTTTTGAGAAGAAATCCGAGACTGGTATTGGTTCGCGGATGTTGACAACTCGTTAAGAAGAGTGGACGTGAGGACTATCATTGTGTATGCAATTTCACTGGGTGTTGGGGATGCGCAAAACACAGATGAAAACGTCCTGGAGATGCTTACCAGTCAGCACAACGTTTTCACTAGCGTAGCTAGCGGGACTCTGCCAAATTGGTATCTGAGTAACTAGAGTGGTGCTGACGTGCAAAGTGGGGCAATGAGGGCTACTGCGTGTTAAATAACACGTCCGAACGATACACAACGAGTAATATTATTCAAGGATAGTTTTTGACCTGGAACTAAATATCACCACTTTATAGCTTACCTAAATTGTTGACCAGAGTTGGATTGAGTTAATATAATCGTAAAAGTCACATAATCATGGAAAATAATCGCTCGCCATCACTTATAAATGAAGAAAAAGTGACACCAAAAGTGTTTGTAATGTTTCATCAGGACTTGAAATGTTCGAATTACTATTGGCGAAAAATGATGTCTTCTGGTTTACAGAAAACGGTTATCACTCCAGCCTGTCATAGTGGCAAGCCTTCTTAGAAAGACATACATTTAATTGTTGGCGGGAGTGCGATATTAAAAAGAGTTTACTAACGGAATGAGGTTACCAGTCTTCTCCTGAGGATTCCATCCATCATGATTTTGCGCTGAGCTAATTGCATGCCACTTAAGCGAACATTTTATAACTTACCTTAAAATCCTATTTCACGTAGTCACTACTTCCTTGTTATAGTCGTGGTCAAAATAATTTAAATTATTTCAATGTCTAAGTGCATAAACGGACTTAGGAAGACTGGTACTGCTACAGCCAAAAAACATGCACATTTTGGTGCATAGGCTTCCAAGTCATAGATGGATTGCCTCGCTGCAGCAGGTGATGATAATTTTTGGCATTATTGTGATTATCACAAACCAATAAGAATACTTGTAATCACTAGGCCATGAAAGCGCTAAATAAAAAATTTACCGCCGAGGTGACACTATTCAAAATTTAACGATTAAGATATAAAAGGAAATAGACTATTTTATGGACACGAGTCTACTGCATAAATGACAATGTTGCGCATTTTTAGATGTCTCGAGTATTAGTGTTTAAATTGAACACACTTTAGTAAGGTTCACTACATTTCTCTTACCTGACCCGCAAGCCGGTTCAGGCGGAGAGGGGTATTGTGAGGGAGAGATAGGAGAACTGAGCGTTCCTGACCGAGAGGCTGGCAAAGGGCCAGATGGAGATCCGACAGAAGAACTCATCGCCAAGTTGGTAATGGAGCCTCTGCTTATGCTTGAGGACTTGGTGTCCTTCGTACATGGTTCCTTCAAACCGGATTTGCATTTGTAATGCACATTGATGTCACAGCCTGCTTTGAAGAAAAATTCTTTATGCATTGTGACTGTTACCACAACCACATATTCAAGGCAGGAACTAGCAACACAAAAAAACCAGTAGGGTCATACACACAACTCTCGCATAATTTCAATAGATACGGTGAAAGGACCAAAATTACCAGGAGCCAAGCAGGCCCTGACATGCTTCGCTTTCTAAGGAAAAAACAGGCTTGTTCATTTAATCACGAAGAAAGTGACTGACATTTATAAAGGAATGCACTGGTCTGGATCTTTCGCCCTTTGTAGAATTAAAAGATCGTTGCCACTCAGTTCTACACACTTCGGGTTTTTTTTCACGGAAGAACTACCTAACTGCATCTACTCCACAAATATTGGCCAATTTCGTAGTCCTATTCTAAAGTCATTTGTGTATGGCCTGAGGACCGCTGCTATCATTACGCATTTTAAAATCAAAGACAGGATGGCAAACAAAGCCCTTACGTGGACAGGTCTGGAATCAAAAACATATCTTTTCCGTTCAGGTTTAGTCTGAACCATAAGTTAATAAACCGCCTTATTGTAGAGAATTAATATTTGTTTCTCAAATATTCAAAATACCCTGCCAACAAGCAGAAAAAAAACAACGAAAAACCACTCTATATCTAAAATACGCATATCTACAACAATAAGTAATTTCAAAAGCCATGAAACGCCCCTCTTCATTCCCACTTTTTAACGTTCAGGGGGCCTTGATCGGGTGCCTACCAGCTAAATTATACGAGCATGGATGTACGCTGTCCTGATTCCGTTGATTTGCGACGAATGCTCGGATTACGACCCATGCTTAGTGAGGTTATAACGCAACGTCGAAACATTTGTCACGCTCGTAAATAGGTTTGTGCAAAAGCGAGAACCGTTTGCTTTAATTTATGAGGGCCTTTTACGAAAGTAGTTGACTTTAAGAAACAAACCTTGACAAGCAAGTCCTTGAGGAGCAAGTCCCCACAAAAGTCCGCCACAAACTACACATTCAGCAGTGCGGTCAAATATTCGGTCCTGAAGTGAATGCCCTTTTTGGGAATGCTGTAACAAAGAATTAAATGTCAACAACAGCCATCCCCTAAAATTGAAGGGTGCCAACGTAGTTAGTTGGTGCATTTTCATAAAATAACACCGAGGCAAAAATCGCAACGGTTATCGACCTTGAACTAAGCAGCCTGAAAATTTGCGCCAAGCAATGGATCGGATAAATTTTAGTTTTTCATCGCTTCGAAAACACAGGATTTGACTGACTCCAGCGTGGTTGCATTACTCACAGATGTTTCAAAAATACACCGTCAGTCCCCAACTCTTTCTATCTTAACTAAAATTTATTCCACTCAACTGGAGTCTATGTATTAACCAATGAAACTCCCGACTTTAGTCCGTGGAAATCAATGTGTCTCAAATACCCCGCCATTAATAGACCAAGGTACTTAGCAGTTGACTTTTTTGTTTGCATGTTAAATTACAACATTGACCACAATTAACAAGCGCAGCTGGCTATGGACATTTGAGCGGCTAAAAAGTTATTTGAAGATTAGCTGGACTCCTTTGTCCTTTAAAGATATTGCAAATAAAGGGCAAAAGTTGCCAAACGAGACCGAATACTGTCATACCCGTGTTTTCCAGCTCCCAAAAATAACACTAGATGATTTAGACTTGAGTTTAGCATTGAATGTAGGCAACTTCTCCCAATTTATGACACCGAGTGTAGCTAGACTGTTGGACATGCTGCCTGAAAGTGTTGAAGATCCAAGTCCCGAACCCCCAGCACTTTGAGTTGACGCTGCCGACAGATTTTCAATGGACCTGAAAAAAAGCGAGCCAATTAACAAAAGGAGATGGTTTATGAAAGGGTCAGCAAATGGTTGCAAGTTTTCAAAAGTCACCTCTGAGGCCAGTTACACACATTTCTCCTATTTCAGTATAAAAGGCTTGAAAAGTTGAATTCGGACCCCCAGTACGTTTGTCTGTGTTCAGTTATCAAATAATGTAGCTAGTCATGGGTTACACTAAACTCACTTGACGTGCTAGCATAGTTAGTACAAGAGTAAGACTTACTTAGGTAACGCTGGAAATATGACCGCATAAATTATAGGTCCTTATTCCAGGTGGTCATCCACGGCTTGACATGTTCCTTAATTCATATGGTCTTAAACTATTGTATACGAAAGCCAAAATTTTTTTATAAATGTTGGTTAAGGGTGGCGATAAAGGTAAATCATCTGGCGATCAAAGTCTCACGTCCACAGCTAGGTAAATGCAGTGATTTAGACCATATATTCGTATTAATGGAGAAAAACTTATTAAACCATCACAGAAACCATGGAGTCAAACGCACACTGGATGCTAATTAGTAACACATCCAGTGTTTATTGTATAAATTGTAAGACACAAAAATCGCAAAGCCGATCATGTGTAATGCCAACGGAGATTGAATGTATGTGGAGAAATGGTTTTGAATTCGCCACAGAATACCAAACATGTTTAACCACGAGGTCGTTGAATGCATGCTTTTCTTACTAGACAAGAGTTGGCAAAATGAAAATCAAAGTCGTCTGGATTATTATGATAATCGAGATCGGCCCAAATTTTTCGAATGTCAATAACCACTGTTCGATCAAATGAGGAATTTCGCATAACCACGAGCAGGGGGCATTGCGTATCCTCCGGGGCCTCTTATAGCTTTGATCGATTTCGAAAATTTCATTGACACATTATCAAAATAAGCTGCGGTCTAGCTGCTAATTTAAAACTACTTTACTTCGTCTGAAAACATGCATTATCGCTTACAGGTGGTTGATGCACTTCTTTTATCCCCACGAATGCAGTGTAAGCAAACGTCACTCTTTTGAAACTCCTAGGAACCAGAACGATTAAACAAGATTTTTGTAATAAAGATGATTTGACCACAAAGATATTTAAATGCCTTTTTATTTTCTACGAAGGTGTTTAGTATGCGTTTGCCAATCGTGACCTTTCGAAAGCTCGACAGCAGTAACAAATGAGCTATGAGAAAAGAAGTAGAAACTAGGTATTAGGGTTTTTGAAAGGGCTTTGCCTTTTCCACAGTTGGATAGTGGTTAAATCGGTATTCGTGCTAACTAATTCACTTTATTATTCATGGTAATCGCCACACATTCAATTGCCAAGGCTAGTACACGATTCACCCCGAGCATATGCCAACCACACCGGTGCTACGAAGGTGCGCGTCGTATGTGCGCGTCTGTTCCCGATCGATAAGCCTTCTTCAGTTGATTCTTTTATTCCACACATGCCAGATAAACACATGTGAACGCGCCACATAAACTCATGTAGGCCAGCCTAACGTCAGCGGTAGGCACGCGGCTGCGGCGGCTGATGTACGCTCTGGAAGTGTGTTTGATAAACATCTTTTGCAAATAAAGCCACCACTTTGCCTTCTGCATGACCACGCACAAACCAAATACTGCAGATTTTCGAAATTCCCTACTCCGAAGTAGCCAGTGAATCATACTTCGGAAATATGAATATCCTCAGAAAGGGTCTGTAGGAAAACGGGTTTCAAAATTAACAGTAACCCTTATTTGGGCGAGATGACTGGGAGCCTTGAACTCGTTAGCTCACCGACATGACCAGAATGGAAATAGTTTTTTTTGAAAACCCGGTGTATGCATTATGTTTTACGTTCTGGTGCCGCTGAAACAAAAGTGATCTTCGTTCTAATGTTTCTCAGTGAGTGAGAGGCAATATACTTGATCGTAACGAAACGGAGACAGCGTTTGGGAGCAGGAATTTGAAGTCTGTCATCAAAAGCGCAAAAAAATTTGTGAAAAACTAGCGATGTGTACGGAGTTCCGGTTATGATAGAAAGCTAAAAGTACGTAGGTGTATAGTACAACACCATCATCACCTAAATGACGGCTTTGAATTGATTAAATAGCTAGCTTACTTCGCAAACAGAGTCCGCTTAAAGGAATGCTGTGGTGGCGCCGGCGTGCTTGGGCAGATGGGGACCGATCCAAGACCAATGTCGTCCGCAGGCGTCTCGGGTTGAGAGGGTGAACAACCGGCGGCAAAGTAGCGGTACGCTGAGACGAGGGAGTAGCACAGCGCAGCCGCTATTTGGTCTTTAGGCAAGTCAGTAGCGTTGGAAGTGGACGAGAGCCAGGTAACAACGGTTGAAGCAGTCGGAGCGTTGAAAGATACCGAGAATTGATTTGGATTTTGTTGGGGTGACTGAAGGGGGGCCAGCCCTGCTATGATTCTTTGCAGCTCGTTCACTCGGGGACTAATTATCGACTCAAATATACCTAATTCCTCTTCCCTTGAAATCACGGAAGTTAGGTCGAAATTTTCAGATGGCTTCCAGGTGTCGATACCTAAATATAAAATCAATTACCTAATGTGAAATTTGAACACCTAGCTGAAAGAGTACAATTAGGTGCTAATGCAATAGAAATGTACAACAATTAAACAGCGAAAGTTACGTCACTCCGTTTGATTACGTATAACGTCGACATCCTTAAATAATTATGAACTTTGTGTGCAAATGGTAATTTAACCGATAAAGTCGGTCAAAGAATTTGCCACGTGTTGACTATAGCCTTCATCGTATGATTACACGGCTAATCCTTAAGAAAGAAAGACATGACAGTAATTTAGCGGTGGTAGGTTTTCGAACTTTATTTAAATAAACTCAAATTTTAGCTGCTAGCCGAGACGCTTGAAATTGTACAATTAGTAGATGGAGTCAAATTTTTGAATTAAACCTTACAAAAAGAATCTAGCTGATCAGTTATTATTCAGCTTCTAATGAGACCCTTCAAACTACGTTGGTCGTGGACATCTCTCACCCACCCTGGCTGATTTGGTCGAAGCAGAGCTAACAATTACCGTCTCGGAGTTGGTCAAGTCATCATACAACGACGAAGGCAAAAACTAAATCACAAATAACTTGACTTGACATGTATAACCCTGGAAATTTACTTACATTTTAATTCAAAGCATCAATATTTGTAATTGAACATTAGCACTTTACAGGGTGTCCTTGTAGCTTTAATGCAAGAAAATTACTGCACACTGAACTGTAGTACCTAAACCGATTGGTCATTCAACACTCACGATAATGTTTTCGATTGCCAGCTTAGAAAGGGAAAATCTACTGAACACGTCTTAAGGCATCAGATGTTTCCCTGGACAAGCAGTACTTTTGGAGTTAGCAAAGGCAACTCAACCACGTGAGATACTTGTAATCTTCACACATACCAGAAGCTTTTATTTTTCTTCACCAACTTTCTTCTGAATTAGAATAATCCCCAAGTACTGCAGATCTTTGGAATTGAGTATCATTGCTGGAAAACTCGGTAAATCATTATAAAGAGGGCAGTTTTAAACACACTGTCCTCCAACGGGTCTAATGCGTTTTATTTAATCCATGATGTTCGTTCAGATGTGTGTTGGAAACGTGGGTCCATTTATTTCAAATACATTTCAGAAGTTTTATGGAAGAACTTTACTTCAAGACAAGAGTACGTTGCTTGTATGGAGACGTATGTTTCAACAAATGTATGCATGTGAGAGAAACGACTGACCTTCCCACTACGAAGGTATTGAAGGAGGTACGGTGAAACTTAAAGTATCAAAACAGTTATCAGATTGGCATTTCTGAATGATGCCTTTTTAGGCTGACGCTGATAGGAGGCCACTCATCAATGCACAATCGAAATCAGTCCACTTACCATGGACGTTGAAGTGCAATGATGTGTATCATAAAGATCTATACACTAAATAGAGAAGACAAATATTCCCTTCTTTTTAATAATCAACATGTTTTAAGGTGACATCTAGCAGTGCCCTCTTTATTTGCTACTTGTAAATAGTTAACATGGCCATCCCATGTTTCGGAGCAAATGTCTTAGGCTAATTTATCTTAGGAGGTGACGTCAGGGCCCAAATTCCTTGAGGTAAAAACATTATAGCACTGATAAATACATCTGGAAGTTTTGTTGACTATCCACTGCTGACCACATACCTCTATTTATGCAACGAAAAATGTGGGCTGAGGGTTTTCGGTCACTGAAAGGTAACAGCTTACAAAGAAGCACAAGTGTTTAATTTTACAGTGGTATTTTTTGCACTGAAGACACTTCAAATTTTGAGGAAAAAATTCAAAAAACGTAACGCCGAGGAGGCTGTCGGAAATGCTAACAGTGGTAATTTAAATAACTGCAATAAAACATCACACGATATTTAGGCGGATATACCAGACATCCTTTGTGTTATATTGTGACAAAGTTTTGATGAAGACCTTTGCCAATAACTGCACCATCGCCAAGTGTACAGCAAGACCCAAGCCACTTTGAGTAGCGTCTGTACGCATAGAATATGAATTATGGCACAGTTATAAATCAGAAATAATGTCCGCTAACAGGAGCCAAAAAAGGATCGAGAACTCATAGGAAAAGCTCCTCAAGTACAGATTTACTTAACTTCGAAGCCATTTTCCTATTAAACGACGATTTTCACAATGTTTATTTCAAAAGTATCACTGGTCAAAACAAACCCATTACTTGAATATTGACCAGTGGCTATACTAAAAGCTCAAATCGCAGAACATAACCTCGAATAAACCAATCAGCTCCTTTTTAAAAGCAATGTGCTTCGACCAAAGTGCAACGCCTTCGCAGAGATGAGTAATAAAAGTAGACATAAAACCTACTAACTAGTCTGGTGATTTCGGAAAGAGAAAAAACCTACCGAGTAGGATGTCTTTGTTAAGTTTGTCCACCTGCGCCTGAATTTGTGGAAGGACGGCGGCACAGCACCCTTCAAACACTGTCGCGGTTTCCTTTGTTAGGACTGAGTTTTCCATCTGTTGAATAATCCAACTATCGACTTTGACTGGGAGGGGCTATAAAAACGTGTAGCACAGCATTAGAGAAGATGCATTTTAAAGAACTTAAAAAAATTGAACATTTAACAGAAATCCCCAAAATTAAAATTTCTTTTAAATAAATCACAATCGGAACCTGAAATCATTGTATTAACGTCATGAATTGCAAAAGAGGGGTTTTCCAATTTCTCTCAAAATTTACTAAACATACCTACACAACTCTGTGATTTAACACGGTGAATCGCTACATTTTACACTTCCTAACTGATTGTTTCTCCTTGATTTTTTTTAAATTAAAAAAATCCGTTACAAAGGTTGTTATATTGCAGCGGCTGCGCAAACACAAGCCTCCTGCACCTCACAGGTCATTCTATTTGTTTGTGCTTTCAGCATTAACCTTAGCCAAACCTGGTGCTTCCTTGCATGAGGTCTCCTTACCAAATCATCTGCTCACTTATAATGGAATTGGCCGTAGACAAGGGTATAAAGTGACCAAACTAAATACGAATGCGCGATGGAATTAATGATCGAGGACTTACAGATTTTTCATGAAGGAAGGTAGTGTAAATTTCCACGAGGAGGCGCATAAAATCCTTTGCAAGATCCTTGACATGAGTCTGCACCCAATAGTAGTGCTTCGCGACCAGGTAGAATAACTACAAAAAAATGCAATTTACGCAGTGAATTATTACAAAGATTTGGGCCATAGTCTACAGTAATGATCATTTTTTAGAGGAAAGTTGCAACCATTTAACCTGGGATAACCATTAGTGGTATACTCGTTTCAACACAATTGCCAGATTGATGTTATCAATACACCTATCATGGTTTTTTGACAGAGCATATCAAGTGTCGAAAATAATTAGCCTGTCCCAAAATAGGCTGGATAAACACAACTGAACAAGTACAAAAGCGGCCAAATATACATACATCATATCAATTTTTTTAAACTTGCATGAAAGATCAACCATTATCGTAGAGCCACGTGCAACTCATCTTTTAAGTTAATTAACTCGGTCATAACCTTCATTATCGTATCATATAATGTCAGCAATCAACGGCAGCAAAATTCCCAGGCTTTTGCAAGGTGAGTGTGACTTGCCTATGATTAGTTGTCCTCTTGTCCATTTAAAGGTAAATGGCAAACTACGAAACAACGAAACCCAACAATCAAAGGAAAATTACCTACAAATTTTAACTGAACTAGAATCTCCTTTTCATCACCTTAGTGACCCAAATAAATGCAGAGCAACCTATAACTGGGCCCTACTTGCATATTGTGTGGCTTTCAGGGAGAGTCAGTGGATTAGTACTGAATTAACGTTTGGATGATGTAACCGCTGCCCACTGACAAGACACCGATCTCACAAGTATTTGAACAGGACCTACATTGACAGTGAGAGAATTTCGAGCATGTAAAGAGCAGTTAAAATGTTCTTGGAGCCTTCCGAACAACATTAAAATTGTTTAATATTAAAAGAAAACATTTCCTGTAAACTAAACTGCTTTTTATTATAAACGACAAGTTCATTTCCCTTGGCTAATCAATACACCTGCGACATGCTTTCTTCCTTTGAACTACGAAGAAAATTACGCGCATAGAAAGGTTGAAGTTGTAATGAATTTGGGGCTCATTTCAGGAAATATGAAAATGCGCCAACTCATGTTTGGGTCAAGCAAAACACGCGATGAAGCTTTCTTCTAATTACAGGCAACCTAAAGACAGTAAACACTATCCTACATGAGCATTAGGCAGGTGAAACGCGTTGCGTTGGCATCCCTCTGACAAGGGTTTCGTTGTGTTGAAAAAAACTGTAATTTTGTTGTCTATTAATTGTGGCTCTTAGTTTTTCTTTGGAAACCAATTAATGACCTTTATTTACACAAGTGCAACCTTTAAATGTAGTGGAAGAAAGATCAGAGGGACATGATCATCCTACTAAACAGGATTAATTGTCTTACAACCGTACAACTTGATGTTTTTATTGGAAAAGAAATCTGTTAGAAATTCACAAACGTACGGTAGGTGAGAGATCCCGATTTTGAATGAGGAGGTAGTTTAAGAGGACACCACAAAGTGATGGGCTGGAGAGAACGTTTGCTGCCGACCGAAATCTAGCCGCAATGGCAGATATCTCCTCCCGAATCTCGTCCTGAAGTTGCACAAAATAATGAAATTATTACAGAACACCTGTCCAACAGCACACCTGTCAGTACGAATCACACAAAATAGGTAGTTTAGCCCAACCAGAAAGCGGACCACTTTTTATTTCATTGAAAGCCTCGGTAGCAAGGTATCTTAATCGGCTTGCAGTAGCACAAATTTTAGCTTCATTAAGGCAGCCTCTTCTCACGGCAGGGCACAGCTCAAGTTGCATTAATTCGAATAAAGATCTTTTTTTCTTGCCATCCCAATCTTTTTTAAATAAAAGTGCAACTGGAATTGTATGTTAGTAGAAAGGAGTTATACACTAACTGCACTGGTTTCCTTTTGTTTGTTTAGGAATGGTTTACCAAAACTACCCACTCTTGGGTTTACAGCTTTTTCCAGGTGCAATAGAGCTTCGATTACTGACTTTAAGCCAAGCTTGGGTCGGTGCTACACTAAAATTGGATTTAGGAGCTATTGTTTGGATTATCTTTAATGAACGTAAAATGCACATTTATAACAACGTCATTCCAATAAGTGGCTTTCACTGATTTAGGCAAGCTAATAATACTCATAAAGTGGACGTAATAAGTTTTAATCAAAAAACATTAAGAAAATTTGGCTAATAGGGGAAAATTTGCATTGCGGTCATTGCGAAAATGTATATGTAATGGAACCAGTGAGTTATGATAGGCGCAGAAAAGGTCTAAGTAAAGATGGCGACAGAGAAGTAACTGTGTGATACTGGCTTTATGCCTCATCGATGCCACGGATTCAATAAGTAAATCAACAAATTAGTTTACCGCTCTTCAGACGCTATGGCCGAACATTCCAATGGCAGATTCCGGGTAAATGACTGTAACTTCGGCGAAAAATCAGCCATTGGCATTACGTTCGTGTTGGTATACTGCAGTATCGGGATATTTTATTTGTATTTTTCTGTGTGCCACGTTCGCAAAAATATGCGAGAGTAGCATGATCCTAATGGAAGTGGAAAATTCAGTGGAGACTATTTAGTCACACGAATCCAACGGAAAATATAAGGGGTGCGGTGGTTTCAGGAGCCACTTAGCACTGTGTGACGATTTCTCCTGCACGTTAACAAACCAAGAAAGTAAAATTTGGCTTAGTTTTGATAACACATAGAATTCATAAGTGTAATAAGTTTTATTATTCGTGTTGCACAACATGTCAGCAATTATTGCTAATAGTGCAGTGTTTCACCAATCAAATCCGAAAAATTTCTTTAGAAGGGGTTTTAGCTACGTTGGTTCCACTCTACAGGATCTGCAAGTCCAGTTATTCAAAAAATCAGAAACGCATGTGTGGAATTTAATGCTTTTATAAAATATGTGATATGACTGCATGTAGATAAGGATTAGTTGTTTAATACACTGTCTTTCCACAGTCAAATATAAGGATAAAAGCCGTGTAGTACAGTTCTATCACTAGTTTTAGGTGACAACTGTGTTGAGTTATTTGTCGAGTCTAGACCTGCGGTAACGCCAGCACTCCATTCGGTTTCACTTCGTAGAAAAGAGCAATCCCTGTCAGGCCCTGTTTTAACATAATGCATGTTCAATTAAGGGACACCAGTACATATGAAATTTAATACCAAACTTTCATACATCCCTCTACTGCTTTGTAACTCATAACATTTGGAGTTGGAACAGTTTGTTGAATGCTTGTAAAGGGAATGACAAAGAGGTTTCATCGTTAAGGGGCAAACGAGACGATCTCGTGGCAGACCAATGCTTTTTTGAACAACACTAATCTGTGACCATATGCTGATTTGTTCACATAAGACGCTTGACCTTTTTTTAACCAAAGGCCAAATCGACAAACTGCAATGTTACATATCAAAAAGTCAAGCATCGATGGTTTACACATAAGTGGCGCTAAATTTTTAACTACAACATCGTGCTTCTCTTCTGAGTCGATGCATTTTTGGAAAATATTAGCGGGCTCTATCACTGAGTTGCAGTCAAGTAAATGATTTGGATTTAATCCTTTCCAGGCAACGGGAAGTGAAGTGACAACAGGTGTAAACGAAAAAAGGTAACTAAGCGAATGACGTCAAATCGAGTTAGCGTGCGGTGGCGCGTGAATTGAGTGCGAGCACGGGGCCATAAGGCGACCCACGTGGGAGTGCTCGGCTTGATTGGCGCTCGCGCTGTGAACGCACAAACACAGAAACCGACTCACGTCGTCGCTGTCTTCGTTAAGCGAGCGACCCAGATAATGACCAGGTGGAGGAATCTGCGGGACACATGCCACGGGAGCAGCCTACAAAATAAAGCCATTTGCAAACAAATCACCACTTTATAATTAAATTTATAGCCCAAATAAAGTTTGCCTAATTGAATCAGATTATAATCAGCGTTCGTCGACGACCTACAGGACCTACTTAATCAAAACGAGATATCAAGGTTTTCAAATATGGTAATTCAAGATCAGCACATCACCACTTACGTCATGGATCTACAACAAGGTGGTCACCTTATTCACAATTCTGACTTTAACTAATTTGTTTGATTTAAGATTGTCTCAGTAGACTCAAAGAAATTATTTTGGAACGTCGTGTAATACTAAGTAACCTTGAACACTGATTAAAGATTCATCGACTAACGAGACCATAGTCTCCAGTCATGCCCCTTTAACCAAGCCACGAATGTACACATTTTTTTGACTGCAAAATGAACAGCGTCCAATTTACCCTTTCAAAAAACATCCACTTAATGCGCCGAATTCGGTGATGAGCCTATATGAATTTTCACAAATAGACATTTGGTGATTCACCAAAGATTGCGTCACCGAAGTTATTCTCTTCTTTGGGCCTCATTAATTTCAATCATACACAATAAAGAAGTTTAACTGAGCTTCTCAGTACCCCAAATATCATGAGGTGGCTCAAACACTGCATTTTGGCATGGACTGAAAAGTTCCTAATTATACTTTTAGTAATATCCAAGGGTTTTACATATCTGCTTCTTACATTAATGCAATCCGATAGCCTTTTGCTTTGCTCCAGACCCTCAGACTGTCCTCGAAGGCGACCCGAACTAGAGACTGACTCAAATTTTGTCGACAACGAGGGATCCTCTTCTTTCACTTGAGATGTGGGAGAATGAACCTAGGGTTGGGGATGAATTATTGTAGCATGGTGCACAGAAGTTGTGACGTCGGAAAAATATTCACTTAGCGTCGACAGTCCCAATTTTGCAGTCAGAACTACTACAGAAGTTCACTGAAATCTATGCTATATAGCGGAATTTTAGCAATCTCAGGGACGCTTATGTGAGGACATCAGTGGTCGCGTTTCTTCTTCATTCACCAATACGCGACATTTTCTTTGACAGTGGCAGTTGGCCCACATCATTTTTAACATGTAACCATTTGCTAAACACATCCAAAACTAAATGGCATACCTTCTGCTGGCGCCTTATCAAACTAGGAACCAAAGGAAGACTGACAAATGTATTCAAATTGAATGCTTTAACGATTTAAGCAGTAGTCATGTCTGAAGTACTTAGGCAAACTCAAGAGACGAACAATTTACTAATTGAAAGCAATGCTGCGAATTAACATCCGTGCCATAATAGATTGGGTATTTTGAAATTTTATTTCTAGTCAACTTATATTGGAAGTCTTGGCACGTTATTCACCTAAGAATTAAATTTGATACCTACGAATTCTGTGTGCGGCCAAAAAAACACATAACACAAAGAGTTTGTTTTAGCTTGTTAGTCCCGATTTAATACAAAATCGCCACAAAACATAACTTGCAAACTGAAAAGGACAAATTTGGTCTCCTGCACAAGTTCCTTGTAAAATAAGTTGGATAGAATAAAATAAATGTGGATTTTCGATGACTGTTTAATGACTGAATATCGCGTATATCTCAAGTTTTATAGTTTAGGAAATGTTCCCTCTAGACGTTCTGCATTTACGGAACCAAACACAAACACTCTATTAAGTAATACCTCTAATGGAGCCGCCATATTCTCTACTATCAGACGAAAATACATATAGTCCTTGTTTTAAAATCGGGAGAAAGATATCTTTTCTAGTTACCTAAACAAACATGAAAAAGAGTATAAATAAGCTCAAATTAAGTTATAACTAGACATTTTGCAGGGATCACAGTCTTATTGTTTCAGTTCAATTAGTCAGTTTCAATAAATAAACCAAGAACACAAGGATCATGGAATGGACAGCGTGAGGCGTGCAAATGAGAGCGTTGTGTGCGAGCGTGAAAATAGGGTTCTCGGCGAAAGTCGATGAGGTCCACACCGAGTGTGCACAACACGCTTCGTCACCGAATCACGTGACGCGCCGCTGGTTGTGAAACAGCTATGGATCGTGCGCAGAGGAAGGGTTCATTCCTGTCAGTAGTACTTACGAATTCCAGTGCAGTGGCCTTTTACAACTTGGTGATTTCCTTTACAAGGTATACGGACAAGGGTTTTTTCCCAAAAAAGCGGTTTCTCTGGGCAGATATGGCGTGTATTTTAACTGCAGTAACACCTCTTTTTCCATCCTTGCTTCTTTTGCTACGGTACCAAATTCCAAATAAGAAACATGTAGAAAGTGGATTCCATGATTCAATTTCTGCATTTCACTACCGAAATTTCGTGGGTGTCCATGTGATTGCTAATCAGTAAGTATTTAGGCAAAATTCAAACTGATCAAACGTGTATTACCCAAGCTCTCCATGGGTATTGTTATCAGTAAAGATAAAGGTTTTTCTATTTTAGCGAGTTTGCACTCATTTCTGAAATAGGTTATAGAAAACATTCATCAAGAGCTGGTTAGCAAGTGTTATAAAAGGACCTAAAATCTTATCCGGTTTTTCACCAGTTACACAGATAGTGTTTAAACTTATTTAGCAAATACGTCACAGGTTGTAAAGACGTGTTTATGGAACATTGGAGATGCTGTAGAATTATACCCTGCGGTTAAACCTTAGTCTCGCAAAGACCCGCTCAAAGGAATGCTGCAATCTCAGAACTTTAATCCTGCCTATGACCCATATTCCGACACACGAAACACCAAACTGTTTGAAATAATCTGACCGATGTGGCCTGGCAATGAGTGCATTATAAAATCTTAGCACTCGAAACAGCATGCATCGGGAAATGACTATGAAATGCAAAAAAGGGGCTTGTCACAAGTCCTGTCGGAGGTTTCTTCACAACGCTTTCGACTCTGCAAATTTGTTTGACCATGAGGTGATGCAAAGCCCGAGTTGAGTGCAAATAAGAAGCCAAAAACGCGTTGCTACTCCTCAAAGTAATAGCGGGTGGCTCACTTTTCGCCTATTTTTCTTGACGGAAGGGAGTGTCCTGAAAATACTGCTATTAGATGATCCGCTGTAAGGACTAGTTTGTGAGCTGTCGGCCAGACTAACAGGACGTCGTTGATAATTGCTGGGTAAACGGTCACCTGTTCCCATGCTTGCCCGTGAGCGTGGCAACTGGGCGGTTGAGATTGCGGCGATCGTGGCCGAAGTGAATGCGCCGGGCGCCGGGTGCACAGGGGGCAGGTCCGCACAACTGCTGCCATCAACGATTGTCGGCAGGTTCGCCTACAAGTGGACCACATCATCCGCATGCTGCATCTGCACAAACACCTGTGTCAAGCTCTTGTCGTCACATTTCCATGGCCCATCATACAAGGAACTCCAGACTCATAACATTATGGCAGACAACGTGAATTGTTTAGATTGAAATAAGTACACACTCTACGTGTCTAACGAATGTAAGCTTGGAAACATAATTTAGACAATGAAATATCTTTGTGTTGGAACATGCTGAGAATCAGACAAACAGAATGACCCAATTCAAAAATATTGTAAAAAACCTACGCATAGCCAACACATTAAAAACTTCGTCAGGCTGCTTGACCAACATCTTTTTCAGCCAAATGTTAGCATAGGCAGTCGTGTATGCGCATCTGATAGCACAAATCCTACGAATAAAAAGGAACTTATAATCGCCTAAGGACGCTAAGATAGCAAGGGATCCATCTAATCACTAGCGCAACTGATGCCTGACCTTCCGGATTGTGCTGAGTTCTTGTATTAACTCCAGTCATCCTTCATGCGTTAAGCTGTAGTGTTACCGATGGATTTGTACATCCACGAATATATTCGTGGATCATAACTAACCGAATAGGAAAACTATAGAACAAATTGCCATAAAAATAAAATCAAGCAGAGTGAGGCAAAACTATCAGCGTGTATGTGGAGGTCACTCCAAATTGTCACCAATTATCTAAACTGATTTAGTTTTGTTTGAAAAATGGAATTATGTTTAAGTTCGTGAGTGGACCAAAGTGAATAAATCATAACAGATCATGTAAATTGGTAGGGGGCCAAATCAACACGAAGGCGTAACTGGCATGATACAGGGACTACTAATAAGTTTCCAATGTGATCAAATTACGGAATAAAGGTAGGCCGGATGGCATAATGCGGAGCAATTTCCTGTAGAATTGCATTTTTTGCGATTACAGGCAACCAAAGATATAGATATTATGGAACATTGGTTGAATGATTCAAACTAAGGAAAGGATAGCCCTAAATGGCGATAAATAAATCAAGGTTTCGAACGTACACATTGCCAAACTAAACCCGAAATCTACCCAAACTCTCGATTGTTATCCATTAGGCCAGTAAGTGTGTGAATCGATTTGATTTTAACAGCATATAGTTCTCCGTACATAAGCGAATAGGGGACCTAGCAGTTGCCATTAATGGAAGCATCACATGCCTTTACCGCTTTAGAAGTGACGTTGCAAACCATCACACCATTCGAATCTCAATGTCTCTCAAGTGATGACGATTGCAGGGTATGTAGTCAAACCAGGGATCTGATTTGGAACTCATATATTCATTAGTTTTGTTTACTAGCATTTCCGCGACAGCATGTTTGAAGGCGTTTTCCTTACGATCCCTGTCTTGAATAAAAAAGCTCTAATCGATAAATGCTTTCATTTATGTGACCATAAATATCAGGTACTATCAAAGGCAAGTAAGTCCTGTATAAATCAAAATGGCACCGAGTGGATGCTTTTCAGTGACACCTTTCAAATAAAAAAATTCTAAGACGGTGATCAGTAATAAAAATAGGTAATTTAAGATATTGTGAGGTTAAACCTTTAAAGAAAAGGAGGATTTGCGCCTTGAGCTCTAAGGATTTTACAATACATAAATGCCCTTAGAAGAAAACCAAAGCGGAAATTCGCAAAAGCATTTTTGCATAAACGTAGAACTCGGATTATTATCACTGATTAAACTGGTTAAAACGACGGAATGTTCGACCATGTTACTTAAAAGAATAATTTTTATCATTTTAATCATGGCTGAATTTGACTCCAAAAATGTAACCATTTTGCTCTGGTTATGGTTAGTGGAAAGAGAATGCTGTACGAGTGCTGGTCCAACTTTTTCACCAAGTTGTCCTTCGTGACAATTAATCACACAAATATTTAATGCAAAAATTAACCGATAAATCCGAAAAACATCTTAGCCTTAGTCAGGGTCAAAAAACATGTACAGAAAGTAACAAGAACTAACCGTTGCTCGGCGATCACGCCGTTTGCTTTTCCCTATTCCGAACAGATTGGAATCGGGTAAATAGTACAAGAAACTGCTATCCAAACTGGTAGGCGACTAGTAACCACTTTTTCAGAGAATAAATACTTCTTAATCCACTGGTTTTTTTATATCCGTTAGGGAAAACTACAGATCACTTCGAACAAGCCGTGCTGCCGCTTGTATGAACAAACGCTCTGGATGCTGACTGCGCATACCGTTCGTGCTTGCGTTGGCACATATGAATGAACCAATCACAGATCAAATCTGTGTGCGCTGATTTGTTCACTACAATAATTGGTGGTGACTTTATCCAGTCAGCTGGTCGGCACGTGCATGGCGCGCGATTTTATTTTTTCTCGAAGGCAGTTGACTTTGTGCGAATGTAACATTAGTGTTTTTACAAGAGCCCACATACAGATAAACAGGGTCAAAGAAATGTTGGATATCGGAAAGGTATGTGAAAGTGTGAAATACTTTGACTTTTCCGCAGTAAGGTTTAGGAAAACGTAGCTTCAATTTTACGTGATTTTAAGGTAGTTAACTAGTTACTGGCAGTCTAATTTTAATTCCATTTTGCGGTTGACTATTTTCATGTGTTTTAAGACTTCGTTGTACTCAAATGGATGGTTTATTCTATAGGATTTACCTCTATATTCGGACAGGCAACGCGATCTTATGATCCTTACACTTAAATATACCTCAACTAGGGCTTGAGCCTGGCGTCTCAATTCCAGTACTATTAACTGGTTTTGACAAAGATGAACTATGACATCCATCTCTACTGCATGATATCACACATGTTAAAGACCTTTGACAGAACCAGATGGCTACTTATCACTGAATGTACTTTCTATCCATTTGCCAGTTACCCCTGAGTTGTGACTGGGTTTGCGTTGTCGTATTTTCAATAATTGTTCTTCCACATAGTGACACTAATTCTTCCGGTCGTGGTTGGATGAACATGGACAGTATCATCACCAGCTGGTGATGTAATCCTAAAGTGGTAAGCACACCTCGACTGGAAAGTCACCGTAAAAATGTAGACCACATTCATCACATGTCTCCAGGAGCTTCGAACTAACCGGAAAATATTGGCGACAGTCCCTGTCAAACGAACCGCTCCACTCGATGGTAAAAAATAACTTTGTCTAATTTTCACGTCTCGCGTCTGGAGGAAAGTGCACCTTTTTATATTTGGTATTTTAACTATAGGCTGAGCCATATCAGAACAGTTTGACCAACAACAGGGACAGAAGTGAATCTTAAGTGAACCTGTTTTGCTTACAACTCACTGTAGACCCGCTCACAAGCTTAGCCTTTTGATGTTTGATCAAAATCAAAACAAGGAACCCCTATACGCATTTAAAGATGGGAGTTTATCCTGCCTCTTTTGAACAAAGTTATGATTCTCTCTGGCCTTTTTATTGGACGATCCACTTAGAAACAAAGAATCTGAGATGGGAAAATCAGGACCAAATTTAAGAATTGTGAGGAATACAAAATGTTACTGAAAAAAGCTTTTACCGATCATGGGCTCCTTCGTTTAAATTTTAACCTTGACTTATGTGACTGCGACACAACCTCTACCACCTCGATACGAATGAGGCTTACACATGTTACTGATTCTTTCATGTACGATCAGGTTAAGAAGTAAATTTGATTGTCCTAAACATGAGTCCTACTAAACTTCCGGATTCTTTATCGTTGTAATTAACGAGGCTTTCATAGATAAGGACTGATTAAAAAACATTGGCATTCAAGCCAGCGACTCACCAGCCTATTAGCTTGGTTTTAATGTCTGCTCCAGGTCCGAAATATTTTATTCACTTTCCAAATTCGTCACCAAAATCTTCAGCTTTCAATGCTGCGCTTATTTTATTCCTACATGCATCAGCTATTGCCATGAAAAGATCGCGTCCCCAAATACTACTTGCCATGTGTTCACTCAAGGATGTCAAAGCAGAACGTCTTCCCGGAAAGTTGTGCATTGTGTTCGTTATTTTATGTACCTGCAATCACAAGCATTTGCTATATATAAAGCAGTTACCTCTGTAAATGGGCTTATTTAAACTCAGTTAGGGTTTCAAACGGAATTGTCTTGCTATTACCTCACATCCCTGCCTAGACCAAGAAGACAAATTTCACCACATACCAACATTACTACACTTACTAGAAGACCTTACAGGTCCGTACAGACACCTTCGTCTTTTAGTTACTCGTGGAAGGACATAACGTTGTGTTGGTCTAATTGGCACCATAGTGTTATTATTCTACAGGACAAACATTTTTCGAAAAAAATTTTTACGAAGTATCTATTTATTCTTTAACTTCTTGACAGGTCCACTTAACCTAATCAATTTTTTCCATTGATAATGAGCATTCGATAGACTTTTTTTATTGCCTCTCTTGTTACTTCAGAACATAAAAGAATTTTCTGAGCTTAACTAACTTCTTTATGTGGTGTAAAATACTGTTTTTTTATTTTGGTTTTGAAACCAGTACCCATGGTCTTTTTTACTAACCAAATTGCGCCTTATCTTTGCAATATTTGTATTTTTTATTTTAATGACAAAAAGATAATAGAGCCTTGTATAATTGTTGCGGGATAGGTTTGTATTCGATGTGGCTGACCATCATAGTCACTTGATATCGCATTTAAATAATCCAAAATTGCTAGATGCTTAAATATCGAAAAATAATTTTGTTAAGATAATTTGAATTCCTAACTAATTGAAGCATCTGAGGCCACTGCATTGCTGCATTTTCCAAGCCGATTTAGCCTGCGGTCGAGAACCTACTGACAAGCGAGATCGAATGCTGTACACTAGCATTGGAAATGTCAGCGTAACGTTTTTGTAAATAAGAGCATTTCATTCTTGTAACCACGAGTCTACTGTTATGTGATTTCACCAAAGTTTAAACAAAGGTGATTAAAATGTAACCCGAATTATTGTTTTTCCTTGGGTGGATGTGTGCAGGGAAGCAGCACTATTTCTTTCAAGTATTGTGTACTTTAAAATTACAACTTGGATGTCGAAGATGTTGGGTCTTGACCACAGCTTATCGAGTGGCGTAAATGAGCACATTTTTCTGTAATTCCTTGTACGAATGAAACGCAAATTTACAAAGAAATGTTAGATTCAAAGTACATTTCCGATTTCTTGATTCGTCCTGGTTAATATGAAGTTAAGAAGTGGTGCTAAGGTAAATGGAAGGCAGAGAAAATAGAAACAAAAAAGAATCACATAACCTACGCTGCTTTTGAGAGCAAAAATATACATTCGTTGGAGTTTACAAGAAGTACGGCACGGAGTAAAAACATGAAAATGGTAATCAGCAACCTGGAAATAATTTTAGATTTGCCGTGTATAAGTTATGCCCAGAGAACACATCTAAACGTACTTAATGCTGGTTGACCGTCAAACTATTTGCATTACAATTGCTTAAACCAGGGAATGAGCAGTTAATCCATGCGCAGAGCTCAAGCGATTTGCCAGCGCCTCCCAGAGGTTGAACTACAATTTAATGCTCAGGCAAGTTCTCTAACCTATTAACAAATCCTGCTTAAAAACACAGACCACAGAAACTGAAGTTAAATAAGTTTTCTCAGTCCTAAACGTAGCTCATAAAGTGTGCAACTCGAAAACACATTCCTGGTTTGAAAGTAAACTGGGAAGGAAATCAATGTAGAATTCCCACTCTCATTGACTGATTCGATTTGGCTGCCGCCTGCTCAAAAATGCAAAAAAACTCTCGACAATCAACAACGTTAAATAGATGATTGTACATGCTGATGCGCATCTGAATTTGTCAACAGGAATATATTTTGAATTTATCCCTATAGAAAGTTTCTGTTATTTCGTAAAAAGATCTTCCTGCTCATATTCCTCCAAATTTTCCAAAAAAAAATATGCTATAACTCCGAAATGTGAGCTTATTTGCATGAATCACGGTTCAAGGAGACCCATAATTTACTTGCGTAAATCATTGTGGACTGTTAAGCGGGCTTGATGGAAGTTTATGAATGCTCTTATTCATTTCCAAGGTCGTTACTTTCTTCAGATAGGGAGAACTCACACCGATCCTATCAATAGCAAAACTATTCTAAGGATATATTTAGAAGAGTGAGTTATTCAAGTTTTCTGACTGCCTTTTCGATTTCAAAAGAAACATGATCAGTTTCCCAGTGTCAAATTTCACATAGAATTTTGTTCAATTAAATTGCAGAACGAAGCGCAAACTGTTTCAGGTGCTCAATTTTCTAAGAAAAACGTCCATCTTTTGCAATACCATCTGCAACACACTACCTTTATAAAGTTTTGATAGCATTATTTGATCATTCTTCCACTAGGTTTGTACAACATTTTAAGGAAGAAAGCCATTTCTGCAGAGTTAGTCAAATCAGGAAAATAAATGCGAAGGTAAGCGAAATAAGTATGCGTGATAACATTTGGGGAGGGGTGGGAGGAAAGTGTGGTCTAGAATATGCGAGCTAAGGGGTCGAGAGTGCTTAGGCGTTAATTGTGCGTCGCGGTGCCGTGGCGTGGAGTTAGGTGCTTCAGGGCCTCAACTTACATCCTCGTCGACCCAGCCCCGGGTCCCGGCGATCGAGTCCCCTGCCCCACCAGCCCTCGCATTCTCGTCGCCGTCGGTATCGGTGCGGCCGGAGAAGGTGGGGGGTGAAGGGGAGGAGGACTGCTCACGATGACAGCCTCTGCTGTGGTTATTTGGCCGACGACGACTCACAGCCGCGGCAGTGCCTCCACTACTGCCCGTTTCGCGAAGGTGTCTACGTTTCTGGTAACGACGGTGACTTGGTTGACCCTGCTCTGTCAGCTCGTCTGCAGTGACGGCCAGGTAGCTTCGAGAGGGCCTCATTCGACGCAGCATGAAGCAAACTGTGGCCTTTGCTGAAAAGGCAATTCTAGGGTTCACTGCATAGTTTATGCGACAGCAAATTACCCACAGGAATTCGATCTTATTGGTTTAAATATATAGTGCATAATCACTGGCTCTGGACAATTCATTACCTACTTGTGTGCTACGATGCGAAATCGTGGGTACTCACGAAGCGGCTAAATTAGTCTCTCATATCGCAAAGTATCCATATCTGCCGTTTACCTTAACACTTACTTTTACTCTTATGCACTTGTCGTTTTTTCCCGGGCTCGGAACTCATGCTGTTAATATAACGCACTTTTTGGTTTTATTGAATGATAGAAATCGGATTACTGGAACAGCGAGAGCTACAACATATAAGATTATTGACATAATTTCAACTAGAATATTTGAATGCGTGTAGAGCACCCGATTAAAATCAAACCAAAGTACATATTATCCAATGAGGTTACTTTGCAATAAGAGAATAATTTAGAGGTACACCCAGTATTGAAGTCAACCGAATATTTTCCCAGTCAATTACATGCCTCCGTTGTGAAGAATGGACAATAAACTTTTAGTACACAATTCGTCCCTGACAACGCCGGCATAAAAACGCGATTTCAGTTAGAATTTGAGTATTGTGCACCCTTCAGGTAACCTCCAAAATAATTTTTACTGATTTCGCCTTCTCTCCCATATAATTTGTATTATATTTTGGCATTTTTGCTATTTGTTATTTACTGGTAACAAAGTTTCTCAATTTAGTTGTTTATAAAATGAATACTCGTGTATATGAATTCATTTAAAATGTATTATACTGTGTGTATACGATAGTTATTCTTAAAAATATTCAGTACCCTACGAAATTCGGATAATGAGTCACTATTTTACAAGTTACCCGAACCAGACAACAACAGCGATCTTTTACGTTTCCCGGGCTTGCCTCGAACGTGACGCACTTTAACAAGTAGAATATGCTTAAGACATTAGTAGATTACAAATTTTTAAATAAGCAGCCTTGTATTTATACATAGATAGTGTTTTTATAGGTACGCTGTTTGTCAGACGTTCCCTTGAGCTGCGTTAGCAACAGCGTTAAGCAACTTCAGCGTAACTCATCACATCACTTTATCAGATCAGACTACAAACATGATCAACTCACTGTGTGTGTGTGTAGAGGAGACCAATGCGGTCGTAATTAATTTTATAGAAACATTAATAAACGCAGTGGGGCGGGAGGTCAAAAGGCACTAAATCAGACAAGTCATCCTCATAAACTCGTAATCATGAAACAAAGCATACTTCTAACAAAATCCACCAACACTCATGATTGTTGTTTGTGTTGCTTGTTTGACTCCAATCAATTCAAGTCATGAATATCAGATATTACTATTATCCATCCCAATATGAAGAAAAAACATCAGTTTCTTTTGGTAACAATTGCAAAACCTGAAAACATCCAAGCATTTAGGTGCAGAATTTAACTACTTACTGAGGTAGTCTGAGGCTATACCGCCAGACGATATACTTAAATCCTTATTTAAGCAGAACATCACAAAGATCGAAAGGCAAACTCGAAAGGAGTTAGCAAATAGCTGTGATTTAACAGCGAAATCCCATTTTCAATTTGTTAAATCATGTGAATAAATTGAAGTATTCACGAGAATACGAAAAAGTGATGGGCTAAAATTATGCTACCAAAAGAAAAAGACTCACTTCCTGTTGTGGTTGGAAGTTGTCAAGAATGATACTTGTCTCTTTATCTTGAGCAAATGAATAAGACCACAGTTCGACCAAAGACAATTCACATTAAGGCAGTCAAAGGTGATTGACTGATAGGTTGATGTCAAATGAATGACGTAAAATGAATGAATGAATGGCCATATATCGTACTACTTAAACTCGTTAGGTAGATATGAACAACATGAGTAGTAAATGACGTACCTCTTATCCTTTCAACTACTTCTTGGTGATCCATATCTTCAACATTAACACCGTTTACCTAAAATGGTCGAAAAAAATGCAGCCTACATTGAGATAAAGTAAGTATTGGGAGTGTGCAACTCTACAGCATTCAAATGCTGTGGCTAGCCACCTGCCTCTTAATTGCGCTAGAATCACCACCACAGACCGACTTTATGTGTCTGTATTTCGTTTCTATTATCATGATTATTCAAACAACACCAGGTTCACACAGTTATGGGGAGTTGTCTCTGCAATAAAACAAGACTAATGGCTGCCTCTGTTCATGCCCAATGAACTTTAAGCTCGAAGATCATGAAGTGGTTCATCATGCTGATAAGTCGTGTATAATCTCGCTCCATGAAGACCAAGTGTAAACGCTTTACTTTCGAACTAGAGACCGCGTCAACGAAGATGTGAAGTTTTCTCAGAGCATGGGACAGCATAGAGACTTATTTAGGAAAAAAATTTAAATTTTCAACTGCGCTTCTGATCGCGAACATTCTTCCAAATTAGTCAAAGTTAAGCAAGTTTTTGTAGTTCTTAAGCTAGTGTATGGTGCCATATTTCAGGGGTCATACCAGTCATCGTTGATATGAGTTGGATCATCTTTTAATAGCTGTGACACAATTACTTCATACAAGGTCTGTCAATGACTGTCTGAGCATGTTCATTATCGATCACCAAGCAGACTTATCATTGGCCACGACATGATTTCTCATAAATTCGATTAGCTTTTGTGAAATAACTTTGGCCTGTCAGACACGAGACACCTTCGCTCCTAACGCTTGCATCTGTCTAAAAACGTCGATTGAGGAATTGTGGTAGAATAAGTATAGTGGCAATAAGGTATTGAAAAACTACAAAATCCTTAATTCTCTTTAGTAAGTGGGTCCACTTCGGTTTAATAACCGATAAAGCTCAAAAATTCACTTAACTATTTATGATTTATCCGCGTTTCTAACGGGACCTCAATATCTTATTCCAAGCAATAATACGGCAAACACATCAACTTGCTTTAAATATGTCATTTCGAGAAAGAGATAGAAATAAGTAAGAATTGATGTCAAACCAAGCAAAAGGTCTCACCTTCACAATTTCATCACCAGGCCTTAGTCCCGCCCGTTCTGCTGTACCACCTAAAATCGAAACAGAAGGCGTCATAAAAGGTGCACATTATTTTCTGCAATAGAATTAGGTGTAGGGACAATTGCAGTTGGAGGACATCTGATAATTAAAACACTGAACGTTGTTTCGCATTCATAACATGAGGGTTGAATAAATGGGATATATGTGTTTTAAAAGCAAGCACTCTAAAAAACACTTCAAAGGCAGGTTAAATTTTGAAAAATACCCTGCCACCATGAAATGGCTTGAAATTGTTATAGAAAATAATGTTTTCTTTTTCTGAAACACTATTTACTCAAAATTACTGGGAATAAGCCTAAAGTTGAAAAAGAATTTAGTTATCAAACAGTCATGTGACTCTCATAGGGGTAACCAAATCTGCAAACAGCAACTAAAATATTTCGAAATAACATTTTCAGATTTTACTAACTAGTATTTGCACTAATATTTACCCATAGTATTGCAATGTTTTGGGTAATTACGCTGTGACAAAATAGTAAAGCCAGTGTACTACCATGGATCACGAGGTTCAGCCTACCCCCGTCTATTAATAGATTTCTGCACGTTGACCTTCTTTGACCACATGTGCAGCAGCTACGACTTTTCCTTAGTATTAACAAACTTGCGAATGGTTTGAGTACCGCTTAACTAAATGACCAATAATGCCTATCCCTTCAACATTTCCTGAACTCACGTTTCCGATCAACGACTTTTATTTTTTACTTTAGGTTTCTGAGACTCGGGAATCGACGCGTTGTTAATAGAGAACCTCCCGCCAGCTTTGTCATCAGACATGATGGTCGAGATTTGAAGCCACAATAATGCAAACGGAGACATATTTGTGCCACAAACACTTTTTATTAAACTGAAAACCGGTCGCTACAGAATAAAACACCCATATAATAATAATAATAATCTGTGTGGTGTGCATTCGCTTCTCTGATTTTGGTCGTCACAAACGCAAAGGAAGGAGATTATTATATCGACAAAGGTCTGCAAAGTAAGAACTTTGGAACCGACTAATACGTTAATGCAAAAAACGCAAACAAAATATTAACTTAGGTTCTCAATATCTAGATAAAATAGCCTATATGCCCTAATATGCTGATTGGTCATGTGTTTGACATTTCGCTAGTGCGAAAAAAAAGTTGGTTGGGTGCACGCACCCGGGAAACAGAACCCAAACCCCACAACAGATGTGGTATGGACAGGCGAATTTGAAAAGAAATAACATGGGCCATCTCACATGTTGAACTATTCTACTGGGGTTTGGACTCAAAAGAAGCATTAAATACGGCAATTTTATGCACTGGAATGGGTATTCGTGAAACCTTCAGCCGCAGTTTGGCCACTTTGGTACCTTTACATATTTTAGGTACTAAAAACTAATTTTGACATTTATCACTTCAAGTAAGCATCTAACCGCAGTGACCTGCTTCCTAGAAAATCTGTCACAACACAAGGCACGAAAAGAAGTCTCGTGAAGACCAAATCATGTTAAGTTTGCTTCGTTGAGCACAAATAAAAGGATAGGTGGACGTGACCTAATTTGTGACTGGCAAACCGATTAGTCGAGTGAACCTCATTTAATCTTCTCCGCCTGCAACTATTTTTCCACGTAATAGGGGTTCTGATTAGCCTTCCTGAGGTGTTCTAATTCTGATCTCATTCCATGACGCAATTCCATTATTTTAAAATAGGTGTTTTTTGTACAAAGTTATACGAAGTAACTTGATCCTTACCCTCTCGAATATTCCGCACGGTAACTGGATTGGTGCCGCACACAGTAAGCCCATAGCCTGCATGATCCCTGCGAACGATTGTCCGAAAGTACACTGGGGAGGTCGGAATCACCGTTTCGGTTGCTACATCCAACTTATCAATCACCGTTGTCATGGCCTCTTCCTCTTTTCGAGGACGTGGTGCTGACTGGTTGGTTGGTGTGTGCGCAGGCTCCAGGAGTGCCTCACGACTGGGTGACAGCGAAACAGAGGAGCGTGCAGTTTCATACACGGAAGTTGAAGTACTCCGAATGTCCTCATCCTCTTGGACTGTAGTCTCTGTTTCTTCTGTCGAGAAAGGACAGTTTTTATTTTGGTATTCGGGCGGTGAACTGATGGGCAAAAGTTCAGAGGTGACCAATGGCGACAACAGCTCCTTGACAGAAGTGTGCTCACTTTGAGCTGAGTGGGGAAGGGGATTAGAAGTAAAAAGACGGGGTGGTTCGACGACTGGAACACAGTGGTGCAGGGGACTCCTTCTTTGCTCCTCCTCGTTAACGACTTTAAGAGACTTCGCCGCCTCAACTGGCCGCAGGGGAGAAATATTTTGTCTGTGAGGGAAGTAAAATATTCACACCTAAGGGCTGTTTCTAATGTTATTATGGCCTACTAAGATTGCAATATGCTTTTTAATGTTCTTAAAATCACTGAGTGCGTTGCAAAAATACTTCGTTTTTTCACAGTTATCTATCTGAACATGAATGATTGGGGGTACGAGGCTTAGTTTATTTAAACTACGAAATTCAATGCTGATGCCATTCCCTTCCTGGGCAGCTTAACAATGGATATTCAGTAGCATATACAGAGTAATTTAAAAACTAGGTGATTTTGGTCGGTCATTGAAGAAGCAACGAATATTCAGGCACAACACTATTTAGCTCCAGAAATTCCTTATCACATTTTTAGAAAACTTGCTACATTCGTAAAAACGAAACTCTAAGCAAAATCACAATATGAGCGTGCGTCCTCTGGGTTTCCGATTGCAAGCCAACAAGGTCTTCTTAAAAAAATATGTGAGAATGTGCTTTGAGACCAGGTTTACGTAAAATTCACGATGACCTCCTCCAGCTTTTGATGTTACTGATCCAACACAATTAAGCTGAGCGTGTTTTTTAAAGTAAGTTCATGGTTAGAACTTTCGCACCTCCGGTAAACAAGTCTACCTTATGCAGGTAGGCATCACTTGCCATTTCACGGGAATTTTTGAACTTGCTGAAAAATAGCCATGCATAATCCACTTTAGAACCCTTTCTGATAGTCCTTCTTAATCTAATATAATTAATGCGTACCAGTAAAAAATATAGGTTACGAAAAAACCAAACTTTAAAAAAAGAAATATTTTGAGTTAGATGAATAACTGAAAAATATGCCGAATCTGCCGAATATATACGTTGCCAGCAGCGATTTCAACAGCGTATGATTTAGAATCGAAGTGAAAAAAACTAACGACGCTTATTTTCCGCTCTCAACGGCCTCCCACTGAATACCTCATTTCTGACAGTTCTTAGTGTAATTCAAGAATGCAATAATAATTTGGTTCAAAATATGCTTAGAGAAAAGTATTTGATTCACATTGAGTAAAATATCAATAAGATTAAAAAATCAATGAGCTCATGAAAGTCGTGTAGCATTTTTTTTTCTTAGTCCCATTTAGAAAAAAGTCAGTTTGTCTACAAAAAACTCGGTTAGGATAGTAGAGATTGTTGTTGTATCATATTTACACGGGTTATAATTGGCCACTTACGGTTACAACAGTATTATACTTACTGTTACTGCTAATAGAGTTTACAATGCATACATCAACCCATCTAATGTCGAATAACCACGTAATATAAGTTTGTTCACATTTGTGTATGGATTTACCACCCACACCGATTACAACACAAAAGTACTCATAAAATGACAAGCACTTTAAAAAAAGAAAATAACCAGGAAAGGTAAATTTAATTAATATAAGGACCGCATACAATGCTGTTTTAAAGTGCCAAAGTTGCGCAGTTCGTTGCAGACATTGCTTTAGTCACACCTTGGCTTGTATTTTGGGCATAATACAGTTCCAAATATGCGTAAAAGGTGAAACAGAATATAATACCGACATGTTTTAAGGCTCCTGTGTGTACGTGACACGCTTACGCACGATCAAAACTGTTGTTTTCAGAACGAATAGAACACAACACTGGTGAGCAGAAGTCAGTTGTATAAAGTTTTCTGAAAGAGGTGGAAGTGAAGTTGCTTTCTACATCTTACCCAAATAAAGATGCATGCATTAGAATTTCTAATGAATCCGATGGAAATAAAATACCTAAGCTATACCAAATCTGCAGAGCCAATTCGCCCAATAGTTCCTCGTGTCTCGATTGCCTTCACAGGCTAAAACCCGCACCTTCAGGAGTCCGTGCCTTTTCTCAAATGCACTAACCTTAATACTTTGCTATTATGAACTCAGTAGTTGTACTAACCACTTATTTACTGTATGTTTAAACCATTTTGTGTCGACCATGTTTTGCGATTGTCTATGTCAATTTTACTTATTCCAGATGATCGGTTTCTTGATGTGTCCACTTTGAGATGGTGACATAATACCTTTGGTCAGCCACATCTAAAACATTTTCTCCCCTATCCCGCATTTATTGATTCTTTAAACGATTTAAAAGCACAACAAAACAGATTGAATTATTTGAGGCGATATTTGATTTTGAAAGGTAAAAGCTGTCTTGAGGTTGAACGGAAGACTTCGATGTACACTTGGCTTTGCATGCATAATTTCTGTTACATTGCTTTCACTAGCACAATAAAGCACGCACACGTTTATGCAACAAGCTGACTCACAAGTAGAAGCGCTGACTTGCAACTCGTGTGTAATAGGGGCATGAGTCTGCACTCCAAGCATTCGCGCACATTCAAGGGGTAGTACAAGTGTAGACTTTTTGTGACATTAAGGAATACGCTTATTAAGGCATACCTTCCAAACATTAATTTTTTCGCATTAAGATACATCTCCTAAAACGTCAAAATGGCTGGAACCCCGAGAACGACTACCGATTTCGCGTTTTAAGACAGGTCACTGAGTCTTCATTGGTCAGAAATTCCAGAGCTGATTATAGTCACAACTTGAAAAATGGAAAATAAATAATGAAATATTCTATTGAGACATTAAGCGACAAGTTTCTTTTTAGTTCGCGGAGAAGTCAGACTCCTAAAGTTTGGTACCAAATCCTTCTTCGTCATTCTTCCACGGGAGTGAGTCAAGAGATCAGCCCTGACTGTCATCTTAATCTTGAGGGCAGCCATTTAGGGTGACCTCTTGATACACTCCAGATTGAAAACCCAGAAATATGTTGCATTGATAGGATGTGCGGGGCGAGACCACAGAGCATCTTCCTTTCAGTCATATATATGACCACTCTCTCCAAAAGTGTTAGCTGACACTTTTAAGTAACATGACAGCAAATCTATAGTGTCAAATGCTTGGCTAGCTCCAAACAAATAATTGTGTTCCTGTATATTCCACATAAATAAATGAACACAATTTGCTGAATCTGTGAGGTAAATCTGAGTAAACAGTAACTACTATTTCCTCCACTTTGTAGCGTAAAGAACCAGAAAGTCGGAGTCTATAAACGCCTTCCAGAAGCATAAATCACTGATTCAATAACTTAAACGCTAGTCAAAATAGAGAATTTTGTATAATCATGATAAATAAAGCAAGCCGCCACAAAATGTATGCCTTCAAAGTTGAATATCAAAAACCAACTTTGTCTTTCAACTGCTGAATTTCTCTTGTAAATGATTGAACATTAAATGAATCAATCGAGTCAGGTACTGAGGCTAAGATTAACATGACACGATACATATTTTAGAAAATTTCACTATTTCTGATACGTCTTCCCTTATTGCATAGGATGCCATTTATCGGAAGGCTTTGATGACTCATCACCTACGCTTTAAACCTAAGCTGATTTTGGAAACTCACTTTTACATGTTCCAAACAAGTTCATAAATCGCTGTGTTCCTTAAACATTTGCATCTTAAAACTTTTGCTGTTTCGCAGCACAGATTCATACCAAGTCATAAAGAAGCCCAGCTACTCAGGCAGAGTTCATGTCCCGTGACTTTGTCAGATTAAACCAGGGCATGGCTCGTAACACTTCATTAAACAGAGTTAAGCAATGCAAAATTACATGACCCCAATATTTTGTATAGCGAGAATACTTTTCATGTTTATAAAAAATCCTCCATAATGAAATAAATACCCTATATCTGCCAGTAGAATGAAGAAAATAAAGGGTTGCATTACATGTCACAAATTTTGGTAATCCTTGATGATACAAAGGACTTATTTAGTAAATAACCTAGGTGACACTGTTGAAACCCATTGTCTTGATGCATTTTAAAGAATAACACATTCAACCCGTGTGCAAAATAAAACAAGCAAAGACATATCAGCAAAATTTAAAGACTGGAAAATCTGGTTAATGCAAATATTTTCTCGGTAACCTGTCACTTTGAAGTTATGCATACTGCATGTTGGTTTTTTCTCGTTGCCTCCCTGAGTTTCGATTTTCTCACCGCCTTATGCATGAGTCAAGCTTTTTATCAAATTGTTAGTGTTGAGGTTTCAAGAGTTTCATAGCACGCACTTTCATATTTGAGTACTTAATGCATTCCCCATGAATGCTGCGTGAGACTTAATTAAAAAAAACTGATTCGCCATTTCAAATATTGCTTATAAATTACCTCGAGATTCCCAATAAATGCCTTTTGTTCCCTTTGGTCATTCCACTGTTCGCATACTAAGTAAAAGTCCCGAGAGCCTCTGAGCTGAGAGGAGTTGTGTGGGCTGTCACGCATACAAAATGAACACACAAACGCACGTTGTTGTTTTCATGTCGCAGTAACCGTGTTTGCATAAATTAATTGTAACCTTCGTGAGTGTGCCTGTGTATACGTGCCTGTGTACACGTTGCCCTTACCTTATTCGTCTGTGCTCAGGTGTAAGTGTGCGTTTGGACGCCTCACTACAGGACAAAAGCATTCTCAAGTGTTTTGCAAGAGGTCGAAAGTGGCGGAAAACTACACCAAAACTCCACATTATAATAAGTCCACTTTACACCAGACTCAATGAGTGTTAATGACACTTGTGAAGTCCCCGACTCTTGGATCAGGTGGTTAAGGTGGGTAACGAATGCTGCTCGAACCCTAATAATCAGTTTCTTATTAAAATCCCAGATTTATTAAGCAGGCAAATTAAATCACAGGAGATGGCATGGCTTCGCTACCAAAATAGCATCCACAGACGCGGACTCATGCTTATCGACACCACCAGAACTCAATTCTGATTCGGAAATAAGTTATTTCAAGCAATAAGAGACATGTATTTTTTATTGTATCTTGTGTAGACTGAGGTGATGACACTCCTGATTAGATGGCAAGTAATTTCGGCTTCCCAAAATAGCATTCTACTTCTTTAAAAAAACTTCTGTCAAGATTGCAAATTAAAAGTCACAGTTTTTAGAAGGTAAGAAATACGAAAAAGCTAGTCTTGTCGAACACAGAAGGACATCAGCGTGTCGGCAAGAAAACAATTTAGGTGTTTACAAATAGCGTAATCCATGCTTCGGGGGATTCCCACCCGAACACTTTTAGATGACGCAATTTTAATTCCGGCTTTTAGTCTTTGGCCGAACATTTCGATACATTGTACCTTTTTTTTCGTGAAGACAAGAAAGCCGGTTTGGCTTACAGAGAGACCTATGAGACTTATGCTGACGATTGTTTAACCGAACACACGGATCAGGATTAGTTTAGAAAACTCCGCTCTCGAGATTCTCCTCTCAAAATTCACCAACGTCCCAAATGATAAATTGTTGAAATTGATGGTGATCAAATCAAAACCGAAATTCAGTCATATTGCCAAATAACTGTGCGAGAGGGGCTATACATAGCAACTTCACACATACACACATGCACTCACAAGCACACGAAACAATTTAACACAAATCCGTCTTGGACTCGTTGAGAAGCACGAAATTTGAGTTCTGCATGAATTTGGGGTAATTCGCTTAACACGAGGATTCGATTTTCACGATGCGTAACTCTAATGCAACCAAATCATTGCGGCTAATCATTACTGGCGACGAAAGTGCATTCGCTACAACAACATCAGAGGAGAACGACCATGGTAAAAAAACAAGCACAAACCACGCATCGAGGTGAATTGCATCAAACCAGATTGTGCTGTCAAATTGTTGAAATTGCACAGTGGTTGTGTGTTTTAGGCTGATTTAAAATAGGCAAACGACTGATTCAGGCGTTTGCTGTCAACAACTGATGAGGCTGGAGGAAGCAGTCTGAGGGGAACCGTCAGAAACTAACGAATTACAAAGAAATAATTCTCCACCAAAACAATTCAAGGCCTCGCAAATTATCGGGACTCGTAGATTATTGTTGGTGGTTTGTCTAAAGTTTTGAAATGAAATTGAACATTTTGAATTTTATTAACAGGGTCCAGAATCTGCCTGAACGCGGAATCATGTGGTTGTCAGGGCCATGGCAAAAGATCATCTGACGCAGGTATAGTTCATGACAAAAACTGAAAATGATTTCACGATGAAACATTAATTGTGTATCCTATGACTTCATAGCTCCGCGAAGCAAGTGCTTATGGGTTTGTTATGAAATAGCTTACTTGTTTCCTACAGAATATTTGTTATGCCATTCTTGCGGGGCTTAAAACTCAAGGAAACGTCCAAGATACTCATAGAAATCTTTATATCCTCGTGCATTTATAAAAGTTAAAAGTGTTGACTCGGGTAATTTATGCATACTTTTATTTGAGCAGGGATAGATGTTTGCGAATAACCTGTGTATAGTATTCATTCCTACGCATTCCTTCAACTGATCTAACGATTTTCGATCTTTTGCCTCCATGGAAGGTGTCCTGGAACTTTAAGAATAAAGAACTCCCAAACTCTTGGCAAAATGTCATAGGATTCAATTACATCCGAAAGGATTTATAATTTGGGCATGTTTAACAGGGTTATTGAAGATTCGGTAGCCATAACTTATATTTACACAGGAATTTTGCTCAGAAAGCATCGTGATATGGATGACCACACATGATTCAAGGCACATACATTCATAAAATCGTTAATTTTTTTACGCAAATAAATCACAACCCTGCTCGTGGTTTAAGACAAAGAAAGACATACAAATGACTATAGAAACCATTTTTCGTGACATACACTTTGTCAGAAGCACTTTAACAAAAACCGCATAAATGAACTGGGGGAAAAATGTAGTAAAATTTGTGTTTAATAACAAACGTACTCTTCGGTGCCTTATGATGGTGAATTTTCCCAAAGTAAATATTTGAGAACCCATTCTTTAGTAGTACCCTTTGATGAAAGTTTGTACTCCATTTGTATAGAAAAAATGCAGAACTTTAGATTTATGTGGAAGCCTACGTACAGGGTTAGACAGCAGGTTCGAACACCCATGCAAAGGACAGAACTCAAAAGTGAGGCTTAGGTGCTAATATTTCGCCAATGTTTAGTAGGAGAGTTCAAGTCCTGGGTTTGCCTGCAAGTTGCAGTTCTGAATAAAGTTGTTCGTTATACAGCGAATGAACTCATTAGCTTGGCTACGGGAATAAAACAAATAAATTGTAATTCTGAACAGATCGAGACAACACTGATCTTGATAATTCATTTCACCTCTCTATTTACAGGTGTTTTGAACTGAATGGTTAAATTAGCATGAAAAATTGTGCTAGTAAGATATTGCAGGTCAGGAGGATTCTCAGAATCACTTGATTGCCTCTGGTACCCTTTGCGTCTTTAGTGTCATTCTGTCGTTTCAAAATAACCCCTTGTAAGCCTAGAGATCATTGTTCTTTTACATATCCTTTGGAACTTTTAATTAAAAGTAATATGTCACCGCTTACCGAAAATCATTTTACACCCATGATTAGTGAACACATAACCTTTGGCGCCTATCAACTAGGTGAATCACAAAACAAAATCAACATTGCACACTTTGTTCATTTCATCAGGTAGGACGTAAGCGTATGGAAAATAGGAATTAAAAGTAGCTTAATTCTGAATTTTAAATACACGAGTGTGGAAATCAGCAATGAACTATGAGGGTCAAATAGGTGAAACTTTCATAAAACCAGCTTAAATGCAAACGGATCCGCAACCCAGAACTCACACTAACTGATCCTCATCAGCATGCTCAATAAGGCTGTAGATTGCAGCAGAAAATTGTTCTCCTCGGTAATGTTTTGTTACTCCTGAGTTTGAACGTCTTGTGAGCATATGTGGTGACAAATGACTAGGAGAACGTAAAGTGACCGGTTTCCTCCGGACCTCTACTACCCGCGCATCCTTGAGACTGTTTGTTGTCGAAATATCACTGAAGAGAAACGTCGATCCCTCAGGTTCCGAGGCTTGTTTTCTTAAAATATGCCTCGTTCCTCGTGAAGCCGGATTTTTACCGTCTCCCGCTGTGGTCAACGGCACTAGTCTACCGTATTCCGCCACGTGGGAGGGCATGGCACCCACAAGAGTCACCGTGGGTGCAGGAAGAGACTGTTTGGATGCAGAGTCGTCGCATCTTACAAGAGGGAAGTAAGTTTTTTGTTGGAGATGAGGAGCTGGATGACGAGAAATGCATGCAAAAGATCCTGAGGCACTAGCAATACTCAAGTTTGTTGTTGGATAGATAACTTCCTCTGTGACTATAATTCTTTCACGGGACCAGGAGCGGAGGAACTCCTTTTTGTGATGCTGTTTTTCGAGAATGATTTTACTATTCTCGCGATGGGGTTTCCTCCGAGTCTCAAGAGTATCTCTCATTACCTGCTGGATAGTGTAGACTTCTTTGACATCTCGGAGATATGTTGAGGAACCTGAACTTATCCCAGATGAAAGATGGCCTTCTGCGGCAAAAGGAGATAATCCATTATCCTGGGAGGCATAACGGTTCTCCAAATGTTGATGCTGTTTTAGTAGTGACTTCGTATCGTTTCCATGTTGATTCAAACCAATCGAAGGGGCTGTTACAGTCCTTTTAGCCTTTTTCCCTAAGGAAATGCGGATGGGACTTTCTGCCCACGAAACTGTAGCCATTGTGGAAAGATTGGGATGCGTATATCACCTAGAGATTGTGCTACGAGCTTAGAATTCGATTGACGGATTACGCCTGCACCTCGTCAAGCATCACCGCAAGCCAGCACCGCGACTGCATACGTGGGGAGATTAAGCGCCCAACCTAAAGTGGACAGCCCCTGGTCCAACGACAGCAGCGACCAATGGCCACACTCGTTGGTCTGGCCAATGGGATATGGCGGAAAAGTGTGGGTGCCTACGTGCATGCACACTGATACGAGTTCACACAATGGGTGGGGTGGGACCAAGTTTCATTGCCAGTATCGCCTTGTTCAGCGCACACTAGCACGTGCCTGACTAGCAATGCTTTCCCAAAGGCATTTGTCCTTGATTTACTGACTTTGGTATTGTAACTAGTGGCAACTTTGGAATGATCTGGCGGAGGTGGAATCAAGCTTGAAGAGTTAGAGAGGAGGCGATTATTTAATATGTTACGTGCTGGGTGGAACTATGATAAAGAACCATGCGAGAAGTATTTCGGATCACTGTGTCTGTGGACTCCATTATGGCATGCCACCACCTTAGAATTGAGTTTATAGAGTATGAGGGGAATGATTGAAAATATAGTGCATGTGGCTGGAATACGATGGCGCATTAATTGTGTTACAATGTCTTTCGGGATTGAATGATCGTGGCCTAACCTATCCATACCTAAAATGCTCCCTCCAAAACATCTTTGGCATGGTTACAAGGAAATCAACGACTAAAGCGAACTAAGCCACCGTCCAATACTTGATAATCGGTAGTTATGAGATTAAAAAATTTTACCTTTCCAAGAAACTGCATTACAATGCCCATGTATTACTGTGGGGCATTTATAGTCGTTCCGTGTACTTTGGTTCTGTTTGAAGGTAGTACAGCTTACTTGAAACAGACGCTTAATTTTAGGTTTGTATGTGTTGTCAAAATTATTAACAGCATAGCTTATTTATATCAAACTTTTAATATTGCTTGTTTTCAGAGTATAGCTTTATCTTTACTAGCCAACATTACTTCACTTTGAAAAAATGCTTTTATGATTCAAATACAAATTGTAACCCAATAAAAACCCAAGCATGATAATGACGTCCATTCATTCGCCATCTATGGTAGTTGTGCGCCAGCACTCCTGGATAGTCAGAAACACACATGAGCCATATGACTTAAAGAGATATCGAAAACACCAAACATAGTCCCTTGACAAACGATCACAGTGAAATCGTTGGTTGGAGATACTTTTTGAAGTGTATAGAACCCTAAATTAAGATCAGAAAAACTAAACGAGTGTTGCGTCTCAATGTCTGAAACCTTTGAGCCTTTCCTGTACTGAACAGTAATGATTGGTCAAATACCCGTACCTGAGTTTGCGAACGTTACATTCTGTTTGGATTAAGAATAAATAACTACTAACAGCGACCGGGTTCCCTGTATGCAGATGTATCTAGATAAACCAACTAAATAGAGGTGGTGGATACAGCGTCCCAACGATAAAGACATATTCCATTCCTATCCTAAGCGGTTTGGAAGATTTGTCAAGTCGATTCATGTCTAGCACAGGCGTAAATGTTAGAGCTCAAAGTCCCTGCAAAGTAGGAAGTTGAGGACAGTAAACACGCCTACTTGTTTTCGGCTCTTTAATCACATATCGTAAAATATTTCCATACCATGGTGGTTGATTGAGAACCGTCAGTAGTCTAGATGCTATTAATTCCCAAAATTCAAGTAATATGTTTGACTTGGTTTTTTATTACGGTTGTGGTAAACATAAATAAGGAAAACATCTGCTAAAGAATTTTTTGCAACTGTTTTGATGAAGAAGTTTTACTTCGAAGATACGGACGACTCAAATTTACAGGTATTAAACATTTTGAGTGCGGTGCTTTTAGGAGCGCTAAATTTAACCATTGGGCATATCGCTACTTGGAGATCTGGTTGTTTACACGAGGTTGTGCCCCACTGACCAACGTCTTGACCCATTGTAACCTATACAACCTGTTGTGTTGTTGTTCGGTAACTTGGGCGAGGTGTGACTTGAAGTGTTTGTAGCGAGAAACAGAAACTAATGGTAGGTACCCACCGACTGAAATGTCAGAAAGTGAACTCAGTAGATGCAAGAAGAAGCACATCGACTAACTTTACTGTCATCGTATACTTCTAGAATGTCCAAGGTTATGGATCAGATAGTTAAGAAATCCCAATTTTACTAAAATCCGCTTGAGGCCTTAGGTTAAAAAAAATCGATGTGAAAACATGGCAGTGCATCAGATACGATCCTGTCCGCCACTCTCATGTGATGGATGCTACCCCTGAACTGTTGGCTATAAAATGAGTTTCATAACTATGTTGAGGATTTTTACTTCGCCTTGTATGTGTTATTCATTGACTAGCTTGGCTATTTTCGAACGCTGTACTTATCGAATTATTCATTAGTAAATACTGATCGCGAAACCTTTCTGATTCCGCATTTGTTCAAGACATGACTTATTAGTTTGTAATCGATTTTAAATCCGCTTTCACACACATGAAATTGCCATGCTCAGCAAGCAAACGAAATGCATTGTATACTTTTTCGCGTCACTTTTCACCATGCTTAATATATTTTGGTATTACGGGTGCTAATGATGAGTTGGAATGTTGCTTAGTTGCTCATTAGCTACATATTTATGGGTGAGAAACGAGCTGAATTCTGTAAGTTGCCGTAGGTTAGAGGTTGGTGATAAGCACTAAGTACAAATTACTGACCTTTATGGCGGTATCAGAAGTGTTTGCTACGAAACATGTAGCCAGGAGTCTCCTTTTTTTCTGAGACGCCATTTCGCGTCTCGTTCGTCAAGCGAGCAGGGGTGAAAAGTTCCGATATTTACGCAGTATGGTCAAATAAGATCCGTTGTTCACTTTCGCAGTGGTGATTTGGGTCATAGCCAGCATCCGTTGCAAGGACACTGCTGCAAGGTAGGTTGAAGAGTCGATTAGGTGCTGGTTATTAAGGTCAACACCTAATGTTAAGTGGGCCACAGCTGCGATTGCAAAAACCAGCAAAGGTGACGTAGTGAATCGGGCTTACAATTCACTGATTTCCGTCCAAAAGTGATGTTTTTGAACTATTTACTGACGAAAAGCCGCACAATGTGTAGCGTGAACGTCCTTCTGTGGGCGCTGGCTATCCGTTTATTTTCTAGTGAGTTTGTGCCACACCATGTTGAAACCGACAACATAAACCATTCCTCAGTGTGGTTTTAGAAATCAAAATTTATGCACCAATTTATAGATACAGGAACCCAAACAAAATCAGGTTCAGTTGCCGACTGATTTTTTATTGCTAACTTCAACATTTTAGCAAGAATTTACTTAAAACCTTCATGACAAAGTATTTTCGGTCAGGCTACTATGCACAATTGAAGCACAAAACTCAGCTTCTTATAACCTAATTGAAGAAAAATATTTTCCTCTTATGGCAATCCAGCTCGACTCATTCAATAAGCTGTTATTCAAACTGGGGTTAGAAGAAGGCAAGTATATGTGTTGTTATGATAATAATAAATTATCGTAACGTTAGTAAAAATCACCTAACAACATTATGCATGAGAGGCACTCCAACTTTTGCAAAAGCCATCTATTATTGCAAATCGATTTTCTTCCGGCTCCCTTAAGTTTTCATAAGGAAAGTTGTTTTTGCAAATGAAACAATATTTAACAGCGACTCATATTTTACGAAGTAGTTCTTATTTTGATAGCATGGTCTAATCTACGAAATCATGGCCACTTCTAAGATTTTATAGAATAAACGCCTAGATGAAATCTTATGAATGTTTCAAACTGGCTTTCTGGTTTATACATGGAATTCCCTTCTCTAGTAATAAAATTCAAAGACATCGTACAAAATACCAGAGGCAGCCAATCACACAGTATAGCTGATCTGGGTCAGGGGTGACATTATGTTATAGGAACACCCAGCTAGATGCCAAAGCAAAGGAACTGCGCCTTAAAAAATCGACGCAGCTATGGACGTATTTGCGTAAGTTCTTTTTCATTCTTGTAAACAATACTTGATTTATCTACAGTAACACCAAGCTCTCTCAGACCTTTTTGTTCCTCTACTTGGCCCCATTGATTACCGTGCTACATTTGTGGCTTGGAAATGCGCAGGACTAACTTAAGAAAAGCATAGGTGCATCGCAACTAACTTTTGTCATTGTGCTGGTTACGGAGATAAAAATTCAAACACTTGCACTAACAGTAAGAAAATATAGAAATTGAAGGATATGAAAAACTTTTTTTTAAAAACCAATATTCTTCGAGGAAAAATGGGAGGTATGCATTACTTTAACTTTCCGTTTGATAGTAATATCGTCGGAAATTGCTAACGAGGAGGTAGAATTTATGGTGCCTTATTCTGTCACACGTAATGTTTTCCTGATGATGGGTCACACAGGTTATGACAACTTCTTTGCTTGACGAACCGAGTCATTTAAGAGGGTAAAAAGAAAATAACTTTACCTGTCACCTACAAAATTCATATTGTTTATTTCAATTGCTGCCCGTCTTTTTCAATTCAGTGTCTGTACTTTCACCAGAGCCTTCCCGAATTTGATCACAGTCTGAACTATGTAACGGAAACAGGACAAAGCTGAAATAAGCCAACACATGGGTTTACTGAATTTTTTGGTTCAATGCACTCAGCTGCCAATGGAGCTGAGTAGCACTGAAATTTGTGTTTTGTGAGGCTTTGTATTGAATGATATTACTGGAAAAATAACACCATCAGAGTGAGCAGGACAAAACGTAAGGGGTTTCGGCGCCAGTGATAGCCAACGGAATTAAAATACCCAGTTTTGGTGAAAACCCACTCTGCTTCGTAAGTAAAACATTATTTTTTTATTCATCGATATCGTCCATGCTTCCATTTTACCCATGGTCATTGAACTAATGACCCTGATTTCTACCAGCCACACATAACCCTAGCAGTTGAAGTGAGGTGGCAAGTGCACAATGACTACCGAAATTGCTTCTGATGGTTTATACAAGGAGACTTTTGACTGAGACAAACTAAGGACACCTAGCTTTACGTACATCTAAATTTTGATCCAAATTTGACTCAAAACATTTGGCTTGAATTTTACTGCTCCGTCACAAGACTACAATACTAATGAATGTCGAAAAGATAATTTCTCTACTAGCAGTCCAGGAGAACCGAGGAGCTACAAACTGGGACCATTTCGATTTTTGGACAGGTCAGTTTTAAGGAAGCTTTTTTGCTGCATGCTGACGAGTTCACAGGCTATGGATTATTTAACAGGAAAGTTACAATGGCTAACAACACTACTGGCTCGTTAGATTAATTAGCGGAGAATTGCGTGCAGAACAAGATAAATCTGAATTTTATTAATCACCATTTTTTTTAAATGGAACCGCAATCGCTCTCTGATTTTGCAACCATGCATTTCAACGGAATAAGCCAGATGGAAATCATCAGCAAAAAGCGTCTCAAAAAACTCGTTCATCACATCGGCTACTTTGCAAATATCTGACATATATAAACCAACTACTGCGATTTGACACATGCAATTTTCATGAGTAGAATTTCTGCTCAATATTAATATCCTCGTTTTTACGGTTAAGCTATGCAAATATTCACGAGATCAAATGTAGTATATTTCTGAGCATCTCCTTCATTTAGAAATGCCAGACTAAAACATATGAAATCATCATCTAGGAGTCAACCCAAGCTCAGATTAAACCCCAAATAGTTATTTTTGATTAAAAGGACGGCTGCCTTAACAAGACACATGCATGCATGAATGTTGTCTGTTAAATGGACAAAATCAGATTCAGGATAGCTGGCATCCTTTCTTCCACAAATTTAAATGTGTATAGGAGCTCGGAGTGTTCAAGTAGTAGAGAACGGCTGTGCCACAGCATTGCTGCATTTATTAATAAAAAATAGCAAATAAACCACCGCAGCGAGTAGGCCTAACTATAAAGGTCGAAAAATTCTCGCTGCGATATGCCTTACGAAAACACGTCCTAGAAACATCTAGCCCAAGTACACAATTAATTTATACCTTTTTACGACCAGGTTAAATGATGAATTTTTAAACTCGAGCATAAACTTAAATAAATAATTTAAATGTGTACTCATTTGTCGTTTAAGTGTCACAGCTCATCGTTCATTTTCTACACCAATTACGTACTTACCGTATTTTAAGGTTTCAACAGTGCCAGATAACAAGAATCCATTACTTTAATACTTTTACAATTAGCGGTTACTAAGGTTTTAGACGTTCACTCAAGAATTTCTATTTGGAAGCATCCGAGTAGTCTTTTCCCCAGCTCCTTAAAGTTCGCCATTTATTCGACTCAGGAGACACTAAAGTATTAGGTCTTATTATTGCCAATATTTGGAGTTTCACTGGGCTCACTTCATGAATGGAGCTAATATTTTGTTATGAAAAAACTATGTCCGGGGGGCGACAAATCATGAACCAACTAAGTAAGCACCCTATGAAAAACTATGTATGGATACTAGATCATCTAAACAAGTTAATAGATATATAAACTAAACAATGGAAACAGTCAACTACCGGGACTAACGTGGCTGTTCAAAATAAATAGGCATGTCTTGGTGACACGTGATGCGCACTTCCGTTAAGAATGTGGGGTAAACTAATACGGAGCCTTCCTTATTTGCATTATTGTCTTGACGCAAACGCAACGCAGCCAACCCACAATGAACTACGAAGCTGATATAGAGATAGTGCATGGAAAAGGTATATTTTGCATTATTCTTACATTATGCCTGTCATCGGCTACTTCCATTCTTGCTTTCGAGTTCGTGTCCATTGTTTTTCTCAACTACGCACCAAATTTCACCTGTATTGACGGCAGACTGGAAAATCTCTCTAGGGTCACATGGATATCTAACACTGATTATACAAATCTTGCCTTAGGCAAGTTGGCTTCGATTCCGGACCAGACCGACAATCAGATTGAACAGTGTTATGCAGCGATTCAAAATGCCTCAAATGAACTCCAAGCATTTGCTTGTTCAAAATTCTCCTATGATGGCTCAGTGATGTATCATACATTTGTTACGGATTATAATCTTGTCTGCGACAGAAAAGCCTATGCAAACTGGCTGACGTCCGCCACGATGATAGCTATTGCCGTCGGCCACCTTCTCGCTGTTTTTACGGACAAATTTAGCAGGAGGAAAATTCTAATTTTTTACATGGTTTTGGACATTTTCTGGAGCCTTGTAACCCCCTTCGTTCCTAACCTTTGCGGAATTTTTATTTGTCGAATCATGAGAATGTTATCAATTCCCTTGTGTTACCTTGCGTCATGTCTCCTTTTTGAACTACTGCCAGCAGAAAAAAGAACAGTTTACGGAAATTGCTACTGGGCCCCATTCACCGTGAGTTATATTGCTACTGCTGGGTTAGCATATTTGGCGAGGGACTGGAGGACTCTTAGACTGTATGGACTTTTAGGACTCGTCGGTTACATTCCTTTATTTTTATTACTGCCGGAGTCTCCGAGGTGGCTGTGTCTTAATGGGAAATATGTTGAGTACCGAGCCGTTCTGGCTAAATTAGCCAAATGGAACAAAGCCACGCTTCCAGAAAATTTTTGGAACAAAGCGTTTGAAGGAGCACCATTAGCCTCAAATCACGGTCTGAAAGAATCCGCTAGTACGACACCCTTCATCTGTGAAACTGGTGGGGTATGCGAGGAGTCAGGTGGGGATCCTGTAAAGACGGACACCCTACTGGATGCGTTTCGTTCACCAAACCTGAGAAAAATTTTATTAGTTTTCTGTGTGCAGCTGGCAGCGGTTAGTTCCTGCTATTACGGCCTTTCAACTAGTGCCGACTTTGCCTCCGACAACGTTTTCCTAAATGTATTTTACATGGGTCTCAGTGAGGTGCCGTCCAGTGTGGTTGGCTGGCTAATCTGCCGTAGGTTCGATAGACGAGGTAGCTTCCTGCTAACATCCGCCTTTGTGATTCCGTCTCTCATGCTGGCCCCAATCCTGCGCCCATATTCACCTGTTGCAAATATACTGATCATTAGCACTGGAAAATTGATGGTGACAATTGCGTACAACGTGTGCCTCCTTCACATAACCGAAGTATTTCCAACAACAGTGAGAAATATGGGTCTGTTTTTCGTAATGGCATTTGGCTGTGCTATCTCTGGACTCTCACCGTTTATTAACGAGTTACGTTCGGTATGCATCTACCTACCCAGTATTGTTTATGCTGTGATGAATCTACTTGCCGCACTCTTAGCCTTCTATTACCTACCCAACACCAAGCATTGTCCAATGGCTCAGACGATTAGCCAGGTTAAAACCCTGCGTCGGGGAAGGGAGCAGCAGTGGATCGAATTCATGGTTTTTCAGAACAACGGTGGTCAAGTATAAGCCTGTGTGTATAAGTTTACATAAATACACCGTAATTTTATCGATACTTTACTCATGGGTGAGTGACACTCTATGGCGCCGATAAAAAGATCAATTTTCTCCACTTAGACCATGAACAAATGATGGCATGTGCCTTAACGGTGTGCACCTTTATTCAAGCCAGTGGAACAAGTTTCTTTTTTTGTCATCCAACACCACGGTTTTTGCTTAGGGGAACAACCTGTTTTAATTACGCTTTAGGTGATTATTTTATTTTAAAACTGCTTGGTATTCTTATAATGGTCATATTCCGAAGCGGTGGTTTCTATGGTCTTCTAACAGAAGTAGAATTTATTTTGTAACTATTTAAATCACCCTTTTATCTGCTGCTGCTGCTGCTGCTGCTTGGGTTGTTGCTGGTCAAAATTTCAATGTTGTCACAATCACCCTGCTGATCGTAATACCAAATGTGTCAAGTAAATTGAACTGATTTGAGTAAGATTGTAGTTTCTTACATAAATTATCATTTCTCATTTATTTCACATTAGGTGCGGCTGACTACGTTCCAGTAACTTCATTTGTGAAACTCGAGGAGTGGAATAATCTTCACTTCTTAACTTATCTTTCCATGGTCGCTTTTTCTGGACATCACGAGAGGTTTAAGTAACTGCAGAACTCTCAAGTTTCTGGTAGCGTTAAGGAAATACTTTAACTGCTAAAGCGAGTCACCTATTAGGCATTTATATTGATGCTCACACGGACTCCTAAATCTACCACTAAGAATCAGGAAACAGATGCGAATTCCATATAAGACAACAGCAATGTATGCTAATGCAATACATCAAGTTTGACTTGTTTAGGGACTATCAACAGAAGCAAGCGATGGAAAACGTTTGATTTTCCAAAGTGTTATAAAACACGCATAGGCTGTAAACCATAACAACCACCTCGGAAACAATAAAATTAAATCCAAACAGTGTCAACTGGAAAATTTTTAGTGTAAACTAGAACACTATAATAGCCTTCAAAGAATTCATGGGAACAGGCAAAAACCAGGAGTTGCAAATCTCTAGATGACAAGGCAGTTGCGCAGACAAGAGGCATCTTTCGTAACTTGTTACCTCTAAGCTTAGATGTGCCTGTTGAAGCAATATCAAAGCCAAAGATTACCAATATGATAATGTTAAAAAACCAATGTATCTGTCACCAGCGTCGACCCCGGGCATGCGAAGCTCTTGCGCAGTCCGTGAACATTGGCAGCGACATGTTGTTACCATAATGTACCAGCTGCCTGGTTGTCATGCCTGGGTCAAATCACGCTTATATAGACATGGTAGTGAAGCCTAAATTTAGTTTTCAAAATTCTTATGCTGGCTCAAACTACAAGAACATGCATTAGCAGAAATGTTTAACGGAAATTTCGTTTGAACGTGTAGCCACACTGAAGAGATTCAGACCTTAAGCAAATTGTTAAAATAGTTGCTGTGACTGTTTAGCAATATTCAAATGCATTGGTTTTTTCTGAAAGTCTCAGTATACCAGTAATGGCAATATCAAACATCGCTGGTGAAATAACAGAATACTCCACGTTGCTGTTAATGGTGGTGCCAACCAAAGGTTTAGCTGGTTTGGATCCAAAAATAAGAAATTTTGCCTAAGGATGCACAAATTGTAAAATTCCGCTATTATGAACAAACAAGTGCCTATCTAGTCAAAAAAGGAAGTACGCTACACGCAGTTACCTGCAATCACAAAAAGAATTGATAACTTGAAAGTGTTATTACGAATTTTATGCTCAAGAAGCACACATTTGAATCGCAATCTTTCACAAAAATCTCTTTGTATTTGTATTTTTTTGAATTTCAAGAGACTTTTGTACGAAGGGAAGTTCCTTCATAGAAATTACTTATACCAGTTAGAAAAGTGTTGCAGACGAGTCAAACAATCACTTCTGTCCCTTTGAGCGAAATTGTAAGCTTTAAGAAATTAAAAAAGTACACTGTATCAAAGTTTTAAACGTAAATTTAGTTAATAAAAATGCTTGGCGGAAATCCCTGGTGAAAATCCCTGCAACAATATCCAATACCAATCTATTAGCCACTTTACAATTTTCAGTTATTTTAATCATCAATTTTACTGAAAGTCAATGAGCATTTTCATTATATTAAAAAAAGCTTTTTTAAGTTAATTTTAGCTTTTGATGTCTTAGTTTCCTAATTTGAGGTGACACTGCCCTATTAGACTATTATATACCTGAGTGATTGTATACAAAACATGCGTAACAGAACTAATTTTACTTCAGACTACATGCAAGAACCGTTTACCAGACGCCTAAACCCTTGTGACCCACTTTGACTGTCCCTGCACCACTCCCTATATACCACCTCTCATACGTGTCTGTCGCCTTTTAGCTGCGCATATTCTTCCCATGTCATTAGGACACAAAAAACAGAGGATTGGCTAAGGCCGACGTGATCCAGTAGGTCTGCGTCCCTAAACATCGCTACTGTAGAATACCCGAGCACTAAAAGGAAGAAGACTGCTACAACTTAACGGGCCTTATTGACCAATCACAAGCTAGAGCCACAAGTCAGGCGCCTTCCATCCGAGTCCGCTACGCTGGCCACGCCACTCATAATGCAATGCTCCTCATTCGTGTCTGTCTCTGGTTGGCTGCTTATCTTCCTCGCATGCCACTGGAACGCAGAGAGACACCAGATTGGCTGAGGCAAGGTGGTCTAATATGTCTGCGCCATGATCCGTCGCCACACTGCCTCCCCCCTCAGCAGTGAAGCTGTCCTCAGCTTCTGGCTTGGTTCACCGCACTGTTGTGAATATCCAGTGCTGATAAAATATCCAGTTGGACAACCCCCGCACCCCACATCTGGCAGGATAGTGGCTCATGCGAATAGTTGACGAGGGACACTGCTTATGTAGACTTGCAGGAAAGACTCATCATCCATTGAAGGTCCTTCGCAGATGCAGCCCAGCTGGCTGTCACTGTCCCAGTCGTCGTTGCTGAGTTGCCAATGCCTCTTCAGATGCAGCAGTTCTAATCCCGGGCAATGTCTATGGACCCAGTGTGTGCGACATCGGATGACCGCCATGACAACTTCAGCCGGCATTCAAGGGTCTTTGCCTCTGTTGACCATAGAAGAAAAAGGGCTGGGGTTCGATTTGCGTTATTCGAACGCATCCGCTGCCACCAATGTAGAATACCCGAGCCCTAATAGGTAAAA